TCTTTTTTTTCCGTTCGGGTTAATGGATCTCTTTGATCCCAGGTCAAGAACATTCTGTAACTAGATCAGTGTGTCTTAACCAAGGGCGATTTTGCCCCTTATGGGACATTTGGCAATGTTCTAGAGACACTGTTGCTTGTCACCACTAGAGGGGATGGGCGTGCTACTGGCATCTAGTGAGTAGAGGCCAAGGATTCTGCTAAATATCCTACAAGGCACAGCACATCCCTCCACAACAAAGAATTATCCAGCCCAAAATGTCAATAGCACCAAGACTAAGAAGCCCTGAACTAGAGGAAGAACCCTTGGGTCTGGAAAAATGGGAGTCAGGATGAAAAATATTTTCTGAAGGGAGTTGGAAAGTCTGTCCCTTGCCCAAACCACACCCCTAGTCGTTAGGAAGCCTGATAAGCATATAGCCCCTTTACCCTGAATGCCGTTATGTTTGGAAGATAATTCCAAGGGAACATAGTTCAGGGCAGACACGAGGAAAGAGCAGAAGGACAATATTGACGGGCAAGGGTATAGGGTAAGTTATTAAAAGAAAAGCAATCAACTCGTGAAAAGGCCTTTGTGCTTTGATTTTGTTTTGGTTGGTTTTCTATAGGAACTTCATCGAGAAATCATAAAGTGTCTCCTTCTCCACTGTCATCCCAAAAGAAAGAGGCAGGACTGTGATTCTAAAGGTCTGTGCTCCTTAGGACACCTAAACTTCCAGGATGGAAATAAATAGCATTTGAGGTTTAGATTCAATGAGGGCAATTATGCTGGATGTCACAAAAAGAGAGAAGGTGGAGCCTGGCACTTAGAGAGGAAGTATAGAAATGGGCTGATCTGTGGGCGAGAGGCTGGCTTCCCTGAGACTGGCAGCTGGTGTGATGGGTAGTGACAGAGTCCCTCCTTGACGCAATCTTAGTCAGGTTCCTCTGAGCCCTCGTCTGATGGCTCAGCCTTTGGGCCTGTCCTTGGCCTGCCTTCAGCAAGAATTCCGTCAGGCCAGTTCAGCAAGGACCCTTCTACCCTTGATATCTCCTCTTAGTAGCTGTCCATCTACTGACCCACTCACTCTGGCTATACACCCCCAGCTATCTTTGCAGTTGAGTTCAGCCTCTCTCCTCTATTGCAATCATCTTGAATAAAGTGTCCCTTACCGTTTTAACAAGTGTCAAATAATTTTTCTCTAAAAGTCAAGGCTCAAGTTCTGCAGTGCTGAGGATGGGGAAATGGCCACAGGATATGCAGGGAGGCTGAGCACTAGTGGAAATGGCCTTGTAGAGAAGAGTGGTGAGGCTTTCTGTAGCTGAGCCCCCTGTCAGCAGGGAGGACTCCTGAGAGGGGAATCTCTGCGCCTGACAGAAGCAGAGGACCATGGCCAGCTGCATCCTAAAAGAGAAGGAGTCACAGAACACTTAGGGCCCAGGACAGCCCTCCCTCCACAGTCATCCCTCATCTCGATTTTCCATGGAGCACATAAGTCCAAGATTCTTATACCTCCTTGGGAATTTAGGCCTAGCATCTCCTCGCAAAAGGCATTTCTCACCAACCATAGAAAGGGAGAGACTCAGAACTCGATTTACTTTCATTCAGAAAAAGAATGTTATACTTCTTACACTGAGTGTTGGGCAGTGAATTTATACTTGCTGTGTGTGAGTGTGTATCTGTCTTATGTGGTTCTCTGGTTAATGTCCAATTCTTCTCTACAAAACAACTGAGAAACTCTTCTCCACTGTGGCTCGGGGAAGTGGCGCCAGCCTGGTCCTTGTCTATGCTTTTCTTATTTCATTGTATCGTTGGCTGATGCTTGTCTGTTACACATTCTCTTCTTCATCTCATACCATTTATGTTTGGATTAAACTCCTTGATTCTCCCGGTTATCCAGGTTGCTGGGAAGTTGAGTATCTGTAACCCAGATGTTAGCTGAGCTTCTTCCTAGCCTCAAAATCAAGTTAAATTGGCTGGAAAGACCTTCACCCCAACTTCAGTGTAGCAACTGCACAACTGATATACAACCAACGCTTTATCCAAGATTTAGACAAATTCTCAGGGGGCTTATGTGCTTAGAGCTTCTTCTGCTTCCCAGGCTTCTACACATTTCATATGGCTCTGCCCCATGCCATGTAGAACCAGAAGTGAAATACATACCGTCACTTCCCACACCCTATAAAACCCACTCAACCACGCATTCCTGAGTCTCACTGACCCTACTGAATAGCTGGGGGTAATGGGGATGGGATGGTTACATCATGGACAACATAAGATAACAGACATTTATGCTCCCCTGGGTCTTTTACTGACATCAGGCAATGTCGTCCCTCCAGCTCTTTTATCTGCTTCTCTCCCCCGCTGCCCTTCTCTGGTTTCTCTACAGGTCAAGCAGTGCATCTGTCTCCAGTGCCAACCCCCAAACTTGTTTTGCCAAACCTATAAAATTTCTCATCAAGTCATGGCCTTCTGATTAATAAGACCCCCCGTCCATGGAAAGAAATTAGAGATACAAATAGGAGGGGTGTGTGTGTGTGTGTGTGTGTGCATCTGTCCATCCCACAGATGACGGGAAACCCACATCTTTCATAATATCTCCAGATCCAAGTTCTTGTTTCTGTCAAATTCCCCCCTCTGCTCTGCATGACATCACTAATATTTTCCTTTTGTATCACCCCAATCATTCAGTCTTCTCAAATGCTATCTAATTTAGGTTGTGCGTGTAGCATACTGCTATGCTGACAACAGAGTGGGGGACAGAGATTATATGGTAGCACCAGCTCCACAAACAACTTAAAATCAAATACGAGACACCCTTGTCCATAAAAACTCTTTAGTCATTGTAACGGCCAAGACGATTCCAAACGTTGTTGAGGATGTGAAGCAACTGGAACACTCATACTCTGCTGCTCGTTGTGGCCTTCGTTATACCCACTTAGGAAAACTGTTCGGCACTACTTACAAACGCTAAACATACACATAATTTTTGGCCCCGCAATTCCACTCCTAAGCATACATGTAACAGAAATATATACATATTTTCGCCAAAAGATATGTAGAAAAATGTGCATGGCAGAGGCTAATAGGCAAAAATTGGTAACGACCCAAATATCCATCAAGAGTAGAAGAGATAAATAATCTGCGGTATAACTATACAGTGGAAGACCACACAGAAATGAGAAAGAATGCAACATAGCTACACACAACATGGATGGATCACACAAACATATCAAGTGAAAGAAGCAAGGCACAAAAGAGTACATACCATAGGATCCTATGTACGGAAAATTCAAAAGTAGCCCATACTAATTCATGGTGTTGGAAATAAGGATGTGGATTACTAATGGGTCAATGAGTTGAATAGGGAATGAGAATGGCTTTTGAAATTCTGAAATGTTCCATTTCTTGATCTGAGTGCTAGTTACACAGATATACTCACTTTGTGAAAATTAAGCTATGTACACATGATTTGTGTACTTCTATTTATGTATATGTGAGTAAAGGGTCAACAGCGGGCCTGTACTCTTTTTCTCTCAGACCTAGACCTGCCTTGGAGGGTTATAGTTTGCTTTCTCCCAGCACCAGTCCCTTGGATATGTCCCAAGTTAAGCTAAATTCGGAATGTTGAGTACCAGGGCCAGACACATGTTTCGTATGCTTTGAAATCTCTGGTCTGTGAGACAGCACATGGGCTGGGAGACCTGTGAACTGTACGCCTACATAACTGATGGGGAACCAAGGGAAAAGCTTCTTTGCATCAAGATGAACCCCATACACTATGGCCTTATCGCCAGCAATCATACACACTCTCCAGGCAGATGAGGAGGGACTCAAGCATCTATGCACATGGAGAATTGGAAGTCTTCCATTGAGACTGAAGGGCTGTGCATGCTTTCTTTCCTGTCCTGTAACCTTACAAAAAGCTAAGCAAACTTAGTGCTGGATTAAATGCTGTTGTGTCTTGTGAGTTTGATTGCCAGCCAAACATGGTGCCAATGCAACGGTGGAACCATGTATTGTACTTCAGTAAAAAGTTTACTAAAGAAAAACAATTCCTTTGGTTGTTTTGCCTTAAATGTTATTTATACTTATTGTATCTTCCCCTTGGCCTCCAAATTCTTCCCTTTTTTCTGAGCTTCCTTTCTCTCCTTTGATCTCCTGTCTTCTCCTTTTTGAGGGCTCTCACCCACAACTAACCCCTAAACTTCGTATTTATTTCTTATGCAGAGCTATTTATTGCAATGCCTCACCCCAGAGTAGTTAAGCTACTCACGGAGAGGTCACATCAATAACTAACATTAAGACTGGTTGCAAAACGTAGTTTCCTTCCGTAAGTTGTGTGGCTACCTCTTAAAGAAATTTTTTCTTTTGTTAGATGAGAGTGTTGAACTGCTGTCCATAATCATTCCACATTCACACATTATCTGGAGTCTTAGTTACTTATATGATAGCTCCAGTTATTCCTGTTCCTAATTTGGTATCTCAAACTTTCTTACATGTTAAAAGGAATAGAGCTCGCCTGCCACTGCCAATATATGCTCTTAGAGTGCCAACTGCTGCCATATAACCCCCAGGAACGACTTACATCTGGTATCACTCTGTGCTCTGTATTCTGTCTCCCTGCATTGCATCTCTAGACATGGGAGATGCTCTATAGTCAGTCCTAGCTTTTCAGTGTTTGGGTTTTGCTTTTTTCTTTTTGGGGGAGAGTAGGGACTTCCAAGCCTAGTAAAACCTGAGAAGGACACCTTACTGCATATATTGGTATTATTTTATTTCCTATGTAATAACATTACCTTCCCTCCCTTTGCTTTTGCTGTTAAATAGTCTCATGCCCTCTTGAGCTAGATTTTCACACATTTTACTTGAACTAAGGTCTCAGTCATAGGATCTCCTGTCTCACCTCCCCATAGCAGGAGTCATGAGGAAAAGGGGTGTCATAGTCTCAGACACAGCACAGTATCTCATACAAACATTTCTGAGACCACCACTTGAATCAGCAAGGTTGATAACTCTTGTGCCTGATGCTCATTATTTTAATGCACATTTATTGAATACCATTGATATCCAAAGATATCATTCTTGGAGTGGGGAAATATGATTTAAAAGTTACAACCACTGATGGCCAGCAACTTAGAATCTAATGAGAATCATAAAACATGTTCCCCCAGGACCATGATGCAGAGTGGGACAATATACAAACAGTAGGCTCCCATTTGTTGTTAAACTCCATGGCGATGACGCTGGTGCTTTCTGCAGCACCCTTCCTCCTGTGGTACTTCTGAAGCACTCAGAATGATAAAGATCAATTTCCAATCATTCCTACAAACAGTGCATGAGAAATTAAGATTTAATTATGATTACTAGTTATTTCACCTTGAATTCAAAACCCTGGACTACGGAAATAACAGAGCTTTATGTAACATTTGGACATCTTGTTTTTGCTTCCTCTTGTTCTTGTGGAAAGACCAACTCATCCTCTAGAAATAAACAGGAGGTACTTTTTATGACAAAATAAGGTTTCTTAAATTGTCCAATTTCACGTGTACAAAGTGTGAAATCTCAGAATTGAGACTCAGGTTCTGAATTGTCCCTGACAATGGATATCACTAGAAATAGAAATGTCACCAGGACCTATTCAAAGAAGAACTTTGATTATGTCCTAAAACAGTGTTTAAAACTGGAATACAAGAAACTGTCTGCAAACTAATGAGATATGTACAAAAACAATTTCTTAAATAACATGGGGAAGACTGTAAAAGACAGTTCCAGAATGCTCACATTCATGTCGTTTGTTAAGGTGCATTTTCTGTAAAGATCTGTACAGCTCAAAGGCATGAAATTCTACAGAGGAGTCTCCTTTATTCCATGAGTTGGCAGAATTCCTTTTCATCTTCTGTGCATGGAACACTCCCCTTCAGGAAATGTCACTCAGAATGTCACTCCCCTTCAGGAAAGAAATGTCCTCAGCCCTGGAAAGGGTCAGGTTGTCGCATACCCTCAGGGGCTCTCAGGGCTATTCTCGTGAAGAGAGCCACTATGAAGACTGCTACAGAGCATTTTTTCCTTCTTCACATATGGGACATGAAGAATATCACAGAAAAATCAGAGTTCAGAAGTTCCTCTCAAATATACAGGTAGAAAAACTGTCAGAATATTCTTAAATTTTAAAAAGTTTGAAAAGCCTGTGATCTTTGCGCTGTTTCCAAGCGTCAGCAACTCTAAAGGAAGATAGTCACTATCGGTGACCCTACACAGGATTTCCTTTTGTGACAGTTTTGCAAGATGATCCTCTGGGGTGCCATTCCATTCAGGTCACCAGGTTTCTGCAATCTCTGTGAGAACCTGCAGCAGCTCAGTGAACGTAGGGCGGCCTTTGGGTTTCTGGAAAAGGGAAACAGGTGGTCAGCCCAGCTTAAGACTCACTCAGACACCAGCTCTGGGACCTGCTGGCAGGGACTGGATCTAGGCTGGTTCTCCACAAACAGAAGAGAAAGCTATCTTGGCTGACGCACAGGGCGTGATTGGCAGCTGGGCAAGGCACGAGTGTGAAAATGTAAGAGAAGAGAGCCCTGCGAAGTTAAAATGGCTAGAGCTGCAGACAGCCATATGTGGCTATTTAAATTTAAATTAGTTAAAATTAAATAAATGTTTAAATTCAGTTCTCTGTCACACCACCCACTTTTCAGGTCTTCAATGACCAGGTGTGGCTACCCAATTTGACGGCACAGACAAAGCACATTTCCATTCTCACAGAAAGTTCTATTGGACCTCACTGCCCTAGTGATTGACTTGGATGACTTGATATGTACGGGAAAAGGAAGAGCTGGGAGAGATGGAGCATCGAGAGTATCAGACTCCCGGGCTCAGTCCAGTTATTTACTCTACCTGATCCCCTGTGGGAAGAAGGATTTCAGCCAGAAAGCAAAATGCATGTTTTCATGAGGGACTTTGCAGGTCCTGGAGCACAGGCTGCTCTGTCCTAAGGCTCAGTCAACAAAAAATCTGGCCACGCAGCCAAGGACTGGAGCATTTTTCCTATTTCACTGTGGGATGTGGTTTGGCTTTGGCTCCATGTGGAAGAAGAGATGACCCTGTTGGCATCTTTGAAGTCCATGGGAAATAGAACTCCTCATGGGAGCCATAGTCTCATAAAGATCACTGGCAGCAGGGTTAGTGGGGAGACACCACACTTAGTGGCTTATCAACAAAGGACATCAATAAAAAGGACAGAACAGAAGAATTTGTGAGCACTCGTGAGAGTCCTTCCTGAGACCCCGAGGATCAGTTGTGGAGCTTTCTGCAGGGGCTAGGGTTCCGCAGGTAGCAGGGCCTGTGAAACGTGCGTGTCAATGCTAATATCACATTGAATCTAGAGATGCCTAAGCACTTGGGGCTTTTAGATTACATTAAAAAGTTGTAGGAAACATCAACTTTTGCAAACAAATAAATTAACATACCAAAACGTTTTAATCCACGTTCCCACTGCAGTTTGAGACTGACGTCATATATTTGGTCCTCTTGTCAGCATACTATTTACTCCTTTCTCTGTCTCCTCTTCACAGATATACAAAATCTCAATAGGTATTATATTATATGCACGTGCTTCATATACAATATGTATTCCTGAGCTATTTGTGTAATTATTGCAAAGATGCTCTTAAGACATCTATTTGCCACTGACCGCTTATTTAACCTTTTTTTATGTCTCAAGATTCCTTGCCGATTAGTTAACCATATGTAAAATATTTTCATACATTGGGGATATTTATAAAATTAATATTTGTCTGGAATATGAACAACCATATCGCTCTTAAAATATTGAATTTTCCAGTATTTGTGGGATGAGAATCAAGTGATTTCATTTTCAGCCAGGAGGAAACTGCTCCCCCAGCTGTGGCTTTTCTGGGCTAAAACTGTCAGCTGGAAAGAGAGAGGAGCCGTCAAAATCACAGGGGCAGCTGCAGAGCCGGCCAGGGGCGGAGCAGTTAAGTTTGTGCACTCCACTTGGGCGGCCCAGGGTTCACCGATTTGGATCCATGCACCACTTATCACGCAATGCTGTGGCAGGCGTCCCACATATAAAATAGAGGAAGATGGGCACAGATGTTAGCTCAGAGCTAATCTTCCTCAAAAAAAAATCACAGGGGAGTCTGCTACGAAGGGGAGGGCTGTGCTGAGTCAGGGCCCAAAAAAGACAGAGGTGGAAGGTGAACCTCTGGCTTGGTTTTTAAGCCTGGCATTTCTAGAAAAAGAGAAACGGGGCTCCCAAGAGATAATTTCCCAAGTAGAATTTCCTGGCACACTTTCTGCCTTCATTGCTATTCTGGTTTCATCTCTCTATCAGGAGTCTTGAGTGCCACAATAAAGATGAAACCCATTACTTTTAGACTTGGAAAAGCAAGACAAATTAGAGTGAAATAAACAAAAACAGCACCCTTCTCTTTCAGTGTGGAAGCTTAATAAACCTAACTCTACCCTTAGTTTCCTCCTACCAGTTCTTAAAAGGAGTAAACCATCTGATCGCTGAGGCTTTCACAACATCAAGAGTTTCTACAAGAACCAGAGAGATAAGACTTGGAAAATGCACTGAATTCCTCAGATGAAAGGCCATTGTTAGAAACAAAATGGATTAATGACTTTGTCATGGGAGTTTCAGACAGAAATGGTACTTCTGCTCGCTCTCAGGGATCATTACCAAAAAACAGACACGTTTTCCTGCCGTGATGGAGTCCTGGGGTAAGATTTGTGATAATCGGGTCTGTTCTCAGATGCTGGGACTACAAACCTTCACAGGAAAGTAAGGGACACTCACCTCATGCCAGCAGCTGTACATGACTTCGTATACGGACATTGGTGCCAGGCGAGGGCGGTATAGTCTGAAGCCATTAGAAATGGCTTCCACAACTTGCAAATTTGACTTATTTTCAAAAGGCATTTTTCCTTCTGTAAAAACTTCCCACATTAAGACTCCTGCAAATAAAATGCATGAAAACAAAAGGTTAGAGAGAAATAGTTACTTGGAACTGAAAGAACTATTTTAAAATACAAGGCATTATTTTCCTCTTCCAGCTTTTGAGTTATAACCATCCAGAATCACAGCAGTTCCATCTAAGAAGCAGACCATGTGCAGCTTAGTTTCTGAGCAGGCCTGTAAGCTGAAAAACTTTCGAGGGAAACAATGCCTTTCTTTTTCCATTGGTCTTGACTGTCGCCCTACTGGAATAAAGTGCTGGCAGCATTTTCATTTCTATGTATGCTCATGTCCCCACACCCTGAAATCAACAAACCCTTCTGCCATTCAATAGAGAATGACAGAGGCAAAGCAATCCTGAGGAAAAAAACAAAGCTCGAGGCATCACAATCTCTGACTTCAAAATAACTACAAAGCTATAGTAATCAAAACAGCATGGTACTGGCAGGAAAATCAGACACAGAGATCAATGGAACAGCATTGAGAGCCCAGAAATAAACCCACACATATATGGACAGCTAATTTTCGACAAAGGAGATAAAAACACACAACGGAGAAATAGTGTTGGGAAAACTGGACAGCCACATGCAAAAGAATGAAAGTAGACCATTATCTTACACCATACACAAAAATTAACTCAAAGTGGATTACAGATTTAAATGTAAGACTGGAAACCATAAAACTCCTATGTCTATAAAACATAGACAGTATGCTCTTTGACATCAGTTCTTGCAGAATCTTTTTGAATATCCTATCTCCTTAAGCAAGAGAAACAAAAGAAAACATAAACAAATGGGACTACATCAAACTTAAAATCTTCTGCAGGGCAAAGGAAACCATCAACAAAATTAAAAGACAACCTACCAACTGGGAGAAAATATTTGCAATTCATATATCCAATAAGGGGTTAATATCCAAAATATATAAACAACTCATACAATTCAACAACAAAAAAACAAACAACCCAATCAATAAATGGGCAGAGGATATGAACAGACATTTTTCCAAAGAAAATATACAGATGGCCAACAGGCACATGAAAAGATGTTCAACATCACTAATTGTTAGGGAAATGCAAATCAAAACCACAATGAGATATCGCCTCACATCCATCAGAATGGCTATTATTAAAAAAACATGAAATAACCAGTATTGGAGAGGATGTGGAGAAAAGGGAACTATCACACACTGATGGTAGGAATGAAAACTGGTGCAGCCACTGTGAAAAATAGTATGGAGATTCCTCAATAAATTAAAAATAGAAATACCATATGATCCAGCTATTTCACTTCTGGGTATTTATCCAAAGAACACTAATTCAAAAAGATATATGCACCCCTACGTTCATTGCAGCATTATTTACAATAGCCAACTCAAGTGCCCGTCACCAGAAGAATGGATAAAGAAGACGCAGTGTATATATAATGGAATACTACTCAGCCATAAAAAAGATGAGACCTTGCCATTTGTGACAACACAAATGGACCTTGAGAGTATTACACTAAGTGAAAGAGGTCAGATGAAGAAAGACAATTACTATATGACTTCATTCATATGTGCAAGATAAACAAACATAGATATAGAGAGCAAAGTGGAGGTTACCAGAGAAGAAGGGGACAGAGGAGGGCGAAAGGAGTAAAGGGGCACATGTGTATGGTGACAGATGGCAACTAAACTTTTGGTGGTGAACACAATGCAGTCTATACAGAAGTAGAATTATAACGATTACACCCGAAATTCATATAATGTTATAAACCAATGTGACCTCAAGAAAATTTTTTAAAAAAAGGAAAACGGCAGAATTGTGTGAGCCTCTGCTGCTTGCCAAGGCCAAGAGTTTACCAGCCAGTAGATGGCATGTGTTCCCTTCCTCCCACTGAAAGATTAGACTGCCGAGTAGAGCCCCAGAATATCTAGCAGGGGCTCTCTACAGAAGTAGGTGTTCAATAATCATTGATTGATTGATTGATTGATGACTGAAACTCTTTCAAGGCTCCCAATTTGAGTTCCTTTAATTATTCACTTATTCTACAAATATGTATTAGGTATTGATTAGAGGCTGGGCCTATGCTAGAGCCAAAGGATCCTTAAGAATGAGACCAGTTCATGTGCTCAAGAAGCTCACTGTCTAGTGGGGAAGCAAGACAAGTGGTCAAGCCAAGCTCAAGGAGTTCTCATTGTTCTGCAACCACTTGATGAGGTTCTTGTGTTGCCATCCACTGGTCTCATAACTCAACAGCTCTCCGGTAGAGCTTAAGATGTCGCTTGTCTAGACTACCACATGTCAGTGGAGAGCTAATGAGGTCAATGATACAAGTTTAACTTTACGTGGACAATAAAATTCACACCCTTCTGAGGGGGCACAGCTGTCTCTCCAAACCCAAAAAGCCATCCAGGAAGGTCTGGGTGAAAGAAAATAGATTATGACACATTTATTGCCACTTTTTGAAAATCAACTCAAAGAAAAAACCCCAGTGGACATGGGTCTATAGTGTCTCTGTCTCCAAGAAGAACATTACCCAATATAAATGCCAATTGATGGATGCCAAGGATGCCTATGTCTAAATTCCACAAAATTTGAAGGTAATGAAGTGAATGAGGTGGTGCTAGTAGTTAGACAATGAAGTTTATTAGTTACACTCAAAATTCAAGATTGTCATGTAATCAGTTTTCCTTGGAAATCTCTGTGGCGTGGAAAAGTTGGCCGAGTTTGTTTTCTAGATCAGTAGGCTCTTTGTTATGGTTTTATAGCAAGTGCTCAATGAGAAAGGAAAAGATCCAAAGGCACAGTTCTGTAAGAAGGTGTTTGACATCAGTTGCCAAAGACAGCCTGGATGTGTTTAGAATACCTAAGACAGAAGCACAGTTATAAGAAGACTTTTTTAAAATGCTACATCATATTAAGAATTCAAAGTTAAAAGAGAATGGCCTGTTTCATTAAATCAAGCTCCATCAAATTCACTCACCGAATGACCAGACATCAGATTTGCTGCTGTACTTGTTGAAATGGAAAACTTCAGGAGGGGACCACTTGACTGGGAACTTGGCTCCAGAAGAACAGATATATTCATCATCCAAAACATACCTACAGTCATCAGATTCAAAGCACATTGTGTTCATTACCTCCAAGTTTTGTTTACTTCAAATTCCTTTAGTTAACTCCAAGATCGAACAAATTATTTTGGGCCAGAAAGGTTCTGTACACCTTCTCTTCTTGTTATTAAAGTGGGAAAGTATCCATTATAGTGTTTCTTCCCTAAACCAACCTTCAATTGTGTTTATTTTATCTGGGTCTCAGAAAACCATAGCAATTCTTCAGTCGAAAACATACTCTACCGATTACATTAATTATGATAAATTTTGAATTCTGCAAAGAAACACGCTGAATGTTCTAACAACAAAAGTTATAAAAAGGAAATAAAAGAGAAATATATAATGGAAAAGAGTAAATTCAAAGTTGGATTCCTTATTTTTTTTCTTTATGCATATATTTTTCCGTGGGGCAGAGAGAGAGGGGAAATGAAAGTATTTGAACATAATACATTTTGATGTGAAAAATCTCCAATGCATTAGAATGGTCCTATATGGAAAGAAGTCAATAATAACCACCATCTCCTTTAAAAAATAATTTAAAAAATTAAACCCGCTCTCTTTTTTGAGAATTGTATGCAGGAACATCCAACTGTGGGAATCTGGAGAATAGAGATGATAGCCAACTTGTGCTATGTAGCCCCTTAAGGATGCAGTAGAGTATTTTTTAATTACTGATTAATGCTTCCCCACACTCCCACTTTTTTTTTTCACATGCCCTACCTTACCCCATCTTTAAGCCCTTTATTGAGCCAGAGGTCATTCTACTAGGGGAAAGAAGGAGTAATAGAAAACAAAAGGCTTTTCCTTTTCCTCTTTTAGCCATTTTTCATAGCTTTTGAGTTTCAAAAAGCTTTCCAGAGAAGGACTGAGTTATTAACAAAATATTTGGGAGAACAGATCATGAATAAGACTGAGATCTCCCCACCACCACCACTGTCCATCCCTCTGGAAGATCCCGTGAGTTGGGATTGGAGGAAAATTGAAGGGAAAAGGAAGGCATATTAGAAATCTGTGGGTAGCTGAGGTAGGGTCCTGTACCCTGCACCCTACAAGGGCTGCCCAGGCAGAAAGATTCCAGAGAACAAATAGCCTGTGGATGTGCCTAGGTAAACAGGGCCTCAGATAGCTCCACGGAGTTTTCTAATCATGGAGAGTGTCCGATATGAAGGAATCTTGCAGGCAGAAATTTAAGATAAGTCAGCGGCCACCTGTGTGGATGGCCAACCAAGGACAAAACAGGAAAAGGGTGGTTGCAAAGAAGCCAGTTTCAATGGATACCAACAAGGACCAGACAGGCCATCTCCCTACCAGTACCATGGCCCCATGATACACACGGAACTTAGATTTTGACCCTGAAGAGAGTCAGGGAGAAACCCCACATTCACTGGGATTAGATTTCTATCAACCTGAAGGAAAAGGGGCTCAAAACAGAAACTGCATCGAGTTCTAGAAAATAAGTTTAGATTTTCCACACTCTTGAGTTGTGGACTTAAAGTCAACCACTACACTTGATAATGGAAATGCATGACGATGACATAGAAAAGTCAGAACTAAGCAAACAAAGTTATACTTTTCTCTTTCAGAAATACACATATATCAGAAAAGCTTTTTTCTTAACCTTCCACATATGATGAATAGACTGAGAAATTCTTTTTAATTTTAAAATATGCCACGGTTTTCTTAATAATGGCCTGAGAGAAGACCAGAGGAAGAGCCCCCAGTACCCATTTACCACACTGCTGGAACTGGCGCATGTCCTAAAGTTCAAAGTGGGTGAGCAGGCCATGTAACCACATTAACACCTCCCCCAGAGGAAAGAAGAGAGCAACGCGCTTAACATTTCAGTTTGTCAGTAGACAAACGTAAGATTCCCTCTTAGGAGTAAACAACAACAAAAAAATCATGTACCTTGTCATTCCAAAGTCCGAAATTTTTACTACACTTGTAGAACTGACCAAACAATTCCTTGCTGCCTATAGAAAGAAGAGAAGAGCCCAAGTTTGAACACAGGATTTTCTTTCAAGAGTTTCTACTCTCCTTTTCCTTAGTGTGCTAGGGCTCCCGCACTACTTCTCCGTGTAGGCGGCCAGGCTATTTTTATGGTGATGCCTGTCAATGCTATCCACGATTCAACGTGTCTGCCCTCACATGATGGATTTTCATGATTCTTCAAAGAAATTTAAAAATATAAAGAAATTTTAACGCTTTTTCCTTTTCAAAATTTTTAATCTTTCTCAAGAAATATCCTTGATAAATATGAGGATTAACTCAATCTAAGAGAAGATAAACTATGAATCTTGACATAGAAAAATAATGTGTATTTTAAAATTTATCATCATAAATAAAAAGTGAAAAGCCCACTATGCATGGAAAAGGGATAGTCATTACATATCTTTGGGATTTATAATTGCTAATAAAAATTAAGAAATTATATTTAAAAACTTTAAAAACTATACATTTCATTGAATATAATTATTTACAATGACAATTTCACATTTCTTAAAATTACCACAGTGAACTAAATATGGTACTATACAATGCAGGGACAATCGATTTGATGCCAAAACAATCCATTTCCAGTCAGCTTAGTCAAGAGAATCATTGATTTGGGTACTTAACCTCACGTAGGTCAATGGTTTGATCAATTTTTCTCTTTTCAGCTAATTTATGGTTCAGTTAGTCCAGAAACAAAAGTAAGAAGCTTGAAGCAGTAAACCAAAGGAACCAGTTTGGAAGATGTTGACAAGCACCAGCAATGATCCCAAAGCCGAACCACAAGGCAAGCTCTTGACAAGGAAAAGACTCATTGTTAGCTGATATATTTTAAGTAGCATGTAGGTGCATAAAACAGAACACTAAAGAAAGTGATCAAGGAAGAAACCAAGGATAGGAGGTTCTTCAAGAAGCCACCTGGAGCAAATAGAATGACCCAAACCGTCACCCTGTTGAGTTTTTAATTCTAATCCTTATTAAAAAAGACAAACCTGCAGAGCGCAGGAAAGTGAGCTAGGTGGAACAGATGCCATATCCATCCATTCAAAAATTTACTCATAGCTCCTGTGTGCTAGACACTGGAGAATGTGCATGAGGGATGCCAAACAATGGTCTAGCTATGTAATAACAATAGTTAGCATTGCTGAGCTCTTCTACGTGCCAGGCACCGTTTTATGTGCTTACACATATTAATTCATGCAATCCTCCCGACAAGTCCATATGAGGGGGGTGCAATAATTAATACCACTTTACTAGTTAACTAGCTTGCCCAAAGTCACACAGTTAGTAAGAAACAGAGTCGAGATTTCAACCCAGGCCATCTAGCTCTAAAGCAGTGGTTCTCAATCCTTTACTGCACACTGGGCTCACCAGGGAGATTTAAAAAAATACTGGTGGCTAGATTCCACTCCCAGATATTCTGATTTAATCGGTCTGGAGTACGGTCTGGGTATTGTGATATTTTAAAAGCTCCCAGGTGATTCTAATGTACAGCTAAGTTTGAGAACCATTGCTCTGTAACCTGTGTTCTCATCACACTGTGCTGCAGCTCAGAAGTCTGGGCCTTGATATCAAGGAGTTTAGCATCTAATAGTTATGTAAACAATGTAAACGATTAACTGTTACAGGAAGTAGTAAATAACAAATGCCATGAGAACTCTAAGTCATGTGTAGGACAAGCAATGGTGTGTGTAATTACCAGGGGTCAATATAATTATCCTCCTTTCTCTCCCCAAAATATTCCAGCCTGAATCTTGAATAATATAGTCACCCTGGTTATGGGTGATGGAAGTACAGGATTATCTCTAGGTGACAGTCAGTATCAGGGACTTCTAATAGAATTCTCAAATCTCACTGGAGTTAATTTTTGGACTTAGACATAAGACATGGAAGGACATAGAAGGAATAGTATGAATATCAGAAATAAATGTGGAGTGAATAGAAAATGTTTTTCAAGGGGAGGTAGCGAGGCAAGAAAGCAGAGCGATTAGCATTTGGGGCAAGACAAGCTTCAATCTTTTTTTTTTTTTTTTTTTGGTAAGACTGTTGTGAGCGTTACAGAACAGAATGATTTAGGGTTTCTGATCCTTCTCAATACGGCAGTAATGCTGCTGTGATACTGTTAGAACCAAACCACCTTCACAGGGGGCAGTTTCACCCTTGGGAGAGAACAAGGGGAGCTTGTTCTTCACTATTGTATCTCCAGAGCCTGGCAGAATGGTTGGCATATACCAGGCACTCAATACATACACTGGGCACTTAATACATGTATGAGGTACTCAATACATATTTGATTATTGGGTGGAAGGAAGGAAAGAAGAGGAAAGAAGAGAGGGAAAGAAAATTAGTTCTAGTTAGTTGATTAGTGTGATGGTTAACTAGTTCAAGGCATATTTAGAGTAACACCTACTTGGCTACAGCGTCAATGGGCAATTAAAAATAAAGTTATATTTCACAACGAATTTCATGAATAGGAAAATGTTTAAAAATTAAGCCAAAGGATGCATTATTCAAAGTATGGAAAGTTCTAAATTTTCATTCTTTCTGAAAGTAAGTATAATACATAAAATAACAGGAATTTGCACCATACTTACTAAATCCCTGTGAATAAAGCAGTTTCTCTCCAGATACTCCATTCCTTCACATATATCCTGGCACACACTCAGTAGCATTTCCTTCCTAAGCTTGCCTTTTCTCTCTCTGAGGTAGTTAAGCAGGCAGCCATTTTCCATAAATTCTGTCACAATGTAAAGAGGCTTCTGCTGTGTACATACGCCATAAAGCTGAACTAGCCTTGAATGAGATAATTTCCTGGTGAAGAAAAACATACAACGGTAAGCAGTATCATTTCTTCATTTTAAAGCATTTGGACCCAACTGGTGATATTTACCATCTCTATGTAATTTTTATCATCCAGATATGATAAAAATTAACCCAACCACAGAGAAAGTAGAGAAGTTTCCTTTCCACTTTACGTGCTGAGAAAATGGGGTCAAGAGTTTAGGCAGTACTTCCTAAGTCGTTGTAGATACATGTCCCATGAGCTATTTTTTTCTGCTTCCCATTTGGAAGCCTTTTGCTTCCTCATTTCTGCTACTCCTTGCCCAGGTCTTACAGAGTTTCTGTTCCTTGAATTTCAACCTTTCTAACTGCAGCCCCTCAGACAAAAAATTCTGTACAGACAGGAGCAAAGAAAGAGTGATTGATGCATATAAATAAGAAAATTAAATTCTAAAGAATAAAGGCATTTAAAAGGGAATTTTTGGATACAGTTGGAGGCTGAAAAACATTTACCAAAATGAAATCTCTGTATTTACTACACACACACACACACACACAGTTCCTTGAATGTTGCCTATTAAAACACACACAGAACTTCTTAGTCATCTAATTTATCATGTTTTATTGTTTCTTCCGGAATATACCATTCACTCCCTAAAGGCCTTTTATGCCAGCTAGATAATTTGAATATGGAAAAAAATTCAAATTAATGTTTGTGATTTTAGAAGATGTTTAACAAGCCAATTCTTTGTTAGTCGAAAGTATCTTGTAATGTTACCTCTTTTCATTCATAACGATAAAATAAAATCAATGACTCAGGGAAATTATTTACCTTAAAACAATGTGTATGAGGGGTTAATTGACACATTACCACACAATTAGCTTTCAAAAACACTCCACTTAGTGGGGAAGAGAGGCCTTCAGAGAATCTATACACGATTTTAATTTTTAGCTATATATTATATATATTTTTTTTGTCTAATTTGCCTTTCTAATTCATAAAGCATACTTTCAGTTAAGGGGTGTGGTTTAGATGTAAGTAGAATAATGGCAGGAAAGCAACTCCTGAAATGAAATATTAATTTGCCATGAGAAATCCACCAAGTCGATACCCACATGTAAGCATTTGAGAATTGGAACATTACACTGCATTTGCTTAGCAAGATCACTGGCAAAAATCTATCAGAAATAAGACAAAAACAAATAAATAAACCTTTATGTAAGTGGTTCACTCTAACAAACAAGACAAATATTTCCCAGGGGGATAGAAAGATGCAAACAGAAAACGTATCTTCTTGTTTGCTGTAACTTTACTACCTATTCATACAATTTTTTCTCAGTCTAGAAAAGTGTATATGACTCATCGTAGGGTAAATGTCATATTTATTTAAATTTGTTATTTAAATATTGTCACACTCAGCAGGCTTCTCCTCTCCTCCTCTTCTAATTATTCTCTTTCCCTAAGTGATCCCATTGAGTCTTGGGGTTTTAAATGTCATCTCTGGTGACCATACTGACCTCTTTCCTGAACTCCAGATTCATATAATTACCTGACCTCTTGGTCACACTTGGCTATCTAAGAGGCTTCTCAAATTCAACATGCCCAAAGCAGAATTCTTGATTTTTCCTCCAAACCTGCTCCTCCACCAGTCTTCCTCCAGCTCAGTAAATGGTGCCACCCTCTGCCTAATAGTGCACGCCAAAACCCTGGTTTTGCACCTGTGTTTCCCTAGTTTTCTCCCATGAACTGCCACATCTACTGTATCAGCAAGTCCTGATGACACTGTCTCAAAAACGGATGCTGAAACTATTCTCTTCTATCTCTCTCCACGCTCCTCCCCCCACCATCATCTTCTACCCAAACCATTGCAATAGTTTCCAACCTATCTGGCCACCCCCACTTTTGATTCCCAAAAATCATTCTCCACTTAGTGGCCAGCATGGCCTATTTAAAATATAAACCAGATCATTTTTCTGCTCAGAACACGTCAAATCTCCCTTGACCATCCAATCTAATTGAGGCTCCAACCCATCCTTGTGTCTCTATCACTTCATTCTGTTTTGTAGTCTTAGCCCTCACCTCTCTTTGAAATTATATTGTTCATGTATTTATTAGTTTGCTGTCTGTTTCCCTTCCCATCCTTCCACTAGAAAATATCCGTAACACAAGCCCTTTAAGAATAGGAACCTTACCTGTCTTACTTATCATCGTATTTCCAGTACTTAGAACACTGCTTGGCACATAGCAATAGATAAGTGTTGAACAAATGAATGAATGAATATAAGAAAACTGAATGATGCCATTGATTTTTAAACATATTTAATATTTGGAGAGCTCAATAATACTTCATTTATTATTAGAATATTAAATAAAAATCATTTAAATGAAATCATATTTAAATAATAAGGCCTAGGAATCCAACTAAAAACTTTTATTATCAATATTAATTACCCCTGGAGAAAGACACTTTGAGAGGTGGAGGCGAGATAGGAGCATTTTCCATTTTTACTTTATTCATTTTTGTGTAATATGAATTTATAATGTTAAAGCTTTTCTTTCAAAATCTAAGATATTTTGGCATGAAGACATGATGTAGAAATAATGAATGAAATAAAATGAAATGAGATGCAAGTGAAAAGGTTCTTAGATAAATTAAAATTACTTACATATGTATATTTTTATAGTTATAAATATAATTACCTCACATAGCTCAGACATGCTCTGCTGCTAATAAGCTACATCCACGGACAAACTCATGATTCAACAATTACAATGAAGAATCCTTTAAAGGCAATGCAGTGTTGTAATACTTTAAAGAAAATGTGATACTCCTAGTCAAAAGAGCTGAATGCAAGTTTTTGTTTTATCTCCTATTGACTGCGTGACCAAGGGCAACTCATTCAAGATTTCTAAGCTTCAATCTTTTACATGTGAAATGGGGAGAATAGAACCTGTCCTTCTTCCTTCCAATGAACGTTAAATGAGATCATGTACGTGAACATACTACAAAAAGTATACACCAAAGTTAAGATAAAAGATACAATTTTAAAGTTTAGTAGGATTTTATGGGCTGAAGTTGTCTAAGAGGAAAAGACTGTTGCCATTTTTTTCCATTCTTCTAAACAACCTTTAGCAGATGTTCTGGAAACCCCATGAGTACAGGCCTCTAATTTAGGCGACACCCTTGAAATACGGTGATGAAGAGCACAGGAGAGATTTACAGTTGCTCCTCTACTGCACTGGGAACGCTACACAGAGTGACAACAATTTTGGTTAACAGTTACAGCCACTACTATAAGATCTGGCATATAATAGCTGCCCAAAAAATATGTGTTGATTATGGATGGACATATTACCTAAGACCATGGGCTTTGTGCCCAGACAGTTCACAGTTCTGATTTCCACTAGAAACTCTACCAATATTTTCTTGTGGGACTGTAGGCAAATTAGGTAAGTTTTCAACATTTCCTTTTTCTCCTCTATTAAATTGGGATCTTAATAGAACCTATCTCATAGAATTGTGGTGAGGATTCATTAACTCATTCAATAACCCACAAATACTTTTTGAACCCCAACCACATGCTAGTCATCATTTTAGACACTCACCAAGTTTTAAGAGAACAAAATAAGGTCCTATTATTATGTTCTAGTGGGAGAGGAACAAAACAAATACACATGAAGCTTTGGAGTAGTGACAAGGGCTTTGATGGAACTAATACAAAGTGATACATAGAAAGCAATTGGGTTAGGAGTGCCAATTAAACAGGGTAGTTGGGGAAGACCTCCTGGAGGAGGTGACATTTAAACTACACACTTACAAAAAAGAAGGTAATATATACCAAGCTGTATATGTTTGGTAGATAAAGCACAATGTGTGTCAGCTATTTAATTTTTTAAAGATAAATGTATTTGCAACTGGACATTAGAATGCAACTTTTCCTGCCTCACTTTCAAAAGATCAGGAAAAAATTGACTATGTTCAAACCCAAAAACATATTAAGTCCATCTGAATTGACTTAAAAATAAGCCCTTAGCCTCATGCCTGCCTCCATAAACTGCTAGGAACTCTCTCTTCCATTGTCCTCAAAATATTATCATCAGAGATCCTGACCCAAAATGCCCAATCAGGCTTGAACATTTCAAGAATCCCCTCATCATGATGGTAGACATGTCTAATTCTTTCTCGATAAGGATTCCAATACGACTTCAAATTCCCCTGAATCACGTCTCCCCTTCATTCTTTTCTTATTATGCCTATTTAATCCAACACCCAGGAATATAGATTTTATCTGGACATGAAAACATAGGAAATGAATATCACAGGAGATGAAGACATAGGAAAACCATGGTCTGATATAGGTAGTGTCAGGGAGCAAAGGCCACTAGGGTAACCTAAGGGAACAAAAAATGTTTTTGGGAAGTTGATGTCACTAGCTTGGGCAGAGTTGTGATACAAATCCAGGTGTAATGGACCCCCAAACCCAGGATCTTTCCAGGACATCAGTATATTGTATGATACTTATCTGGGTGTTCCTTACACTTACGTCATCACTTTGGCCTCTTCGATGAAATCCTCTTCAGACATGGAGCCTTCATTGATGGCCTTGATGGCTACCTGGATGTGTGATCGCCACTTGCCTAAATGCACCACCCCAAACTGACCACTTCCAATCTCCTCTACAAAAGCCAACTCAGATGGATCGATCTCCCACTTTTCTGCAAAAGTAAAACATCTGTGTTACAAGTAGGGAAAAGGATGTTAAAATTTTAGAGCAAGAAAAGATCTAGGAATTATCTGCACCTATCCTCTTGTTTTACAGAGAGGTTAAAAAATTTACAGATGAGTGGAGACGAGCTGTAACCATTTTTAATACTCTCACTGTGGCTTAAATGTGTAATTCCAGAATTCAAGTTTAAAAAGACAAACTTTACTTACTTGGAGAAGAATTATAGATATCAAAACATGCCTTCTTTTTCTAGAGAGACCGAGGATGAACCACAGTTCTGTACTTTTCTAAACTAAACCTACCAAACCTAGATCTGTGACCCAACATACTCATGTTTCCAGTTTGTTTATGTCCTGGTGAGTAACTTTGTGAGGCAGGTAAAATTTGGGCTGCCCGGCTCCATTTCAGATCCCTCTGCTGCTCCTACACCCACTCCCAGCACTAAAGGGCTTTTCTGCCCTGGTCTGCTTAGGGAAAAGTCTAATCAATGCGTCTAATGAGTCCAATGTCAGGATTCTAACCCTCATATATGTAATTGTATGTTTGAAGTGAACTTTGTGTTACTGTATATTTCTCATTCTATAGAATCAATCAGGAACAAAGAGCTCTTTTTAAAATAACCCTCTCGAAAACTCTCACTCAGATCTGTTTTTACTATCTCCTTTTATATAACAATACCGCCCTCTGCTGGAAGTTCAGAATAATGCATTCGAAAGAATTGTAAGGGCTGATGGCCCCTTGTACCAGCTTTGCAAAGTACTCCACCTCCCAATAGTAGGCGTCTTTTTAAAGCAGCATGGAAAATATATTCATGACCTTGGGATTGGCATAGATTTATTCAATAGAATATAACCATAAAGGAAAATATTGGTAAATTCATTAAAATCCTGCTCATCAAAAACACCTCATTAAGAGAGTGAAAAGGCAAGCACTGACTGGGAGAAGATATTTCTAAAACACAAAACCAACAAAGAATTCCTATTCAGAATATGAACAATTTAGAAAAAGGTAGATATCCGGTTTTTTAAGGGTTAAAAGAACTCAAATAGAGTATTCTCTCACAAAAGAGCATACCCAAATGGTCACTAAACCTATGAAAAGTTGACCAACGTAATTAGTCACCAGGGAAATGTGTATTTAATCCATAATGATATACTACTACACAATCACCAGATTGGCTAAAGTGGAAAAAAAAAACCCACACACATACCAAATTTGGCAAGGGCAACTGTATGGAGCAGCTGGAACACATATACACTGTTGATTGAAATGTAATTTGGTACAAGCTCTTCAGAAAAGTAACTAAATTTTGTTAACTCTTTGGAAAACTGACTAAATCTGCGTGTGTACATACCCCATGACCTGGCAATTTACTCTTCAGTATATAGCCAACATTGCTGGAGCATAGATATGTACTGAACTTCATTAAAAGACAGGCAAAAATATTCATAACAATATTATTTATAAGAGACAAAAATTGGTTACAACCCAAATGGTCATCTAAAGGATGGGTAAATCAATTGTAATACAGTCATGCAATGGAGCACTATGCCACAATGAAAATGAACCAACCACACCCAACCCCATGGGTTACTTCACACGTGGAATGATGAGAGAAAGAAGCCAGACACAAAAGACTGCACAGCATCCAATTCCATTTATATGAAGTACTCAAAACTAGGCAAAATTAATACAGCTATAGATTTTTGAAGTGTGCACTGTTCTGGATGCTAAAAAATGGAAAAGTTTATTTGTTTTTAATTAAAGAGGTCTGTGTTTAACGTAGGTAAATTGTTAAGGGTAGAACTTTTATTATATATAGTACTTATAGGAAAGAGGAATAAGTCAGTCACCCATGCCCTCCTGAAATCACCCTTCCATCCCGATTAACATAGAAACCCTGAGTCCTGGTTACTTATTACAAAATATAATTGTGTTATATATTTTTTCTTTTAGTATATTTTGAATCCCACTAATGAGAGAAATTTAAGGAAATAAATTGTTACCAAATCAGAAAACAGGATTCTTTGACTCTTATTTATTCTCACAGATTTGTAAATACCACATTTGCTGGAAAATAATTCAAATCAAACTCTGTACAAGTTCTATTTGAAAAAGGTGAAGAGGACACTTTTAGCAGCTCATCTGAGCTGGTTCTCGTGGGGAGCAATCATTTCCCAGTCACCCACGCAACGAGAGAGCAACAACCCAAACACTCAAATAGAAAGAACTGTCGTGTGTCAAAAGGGCTCCTAATAATGTATAATGAATTTAAAATAAAAGTGCAACATTTTTCCCCAAAGTTTAAATTGCCCCTATGAGATACATTTATTTAAATATCTCAGAAGGTGGATTTAAACTTTGAGAAGAAATATATCTAGATAGATATCTCAAAAGAGCTGAAAACTTGAGGAACGTTGAGGGAGGCTGAGGTAGATTCCTGAGAGGATCTGATATTCTACTTGAGCACACATGCATACTCTACCATAGCTGAAACCAGCCGTGGCTGGCAAACAATTGCCCATCAGCCCAACTGGGTAGCGGAGACGCGTCATGAGACCTAGGGAGAAAGAGAAATCAGCATTTCAATCCTAGTTACAATATAAAAGAAAAAAAACGAATATACTAGAAGATAGCACCATTCTTTAAATAAATTAGTCAAAAAAGTATGGTACAAAAACCAGTCAAAAAAGTATTCTGTTTGCTTATTCTTCCTATTTGAAAAACATTTTTCATTGAACACAAATTAAAGAATCCAGGGAAATATAAAGATGAAATAAAGGTCTCTCACAAAATCTTAGCATCCAGAGACATATTGTTATCATTTTTGTGAACACCTTTGCAAAAATCTCCATACGTGTATTTGAAAGCATGTATATATCCAATGTTTCACAAAAGCGTAAATATTTTGCTATAAGCTTTTTGCACTCAATATGTAATTGATATATGTCAATGATGATAAACAGATACTGAAGTTATTCCCAAGATTGCACTATTGTAAAATATACTGTATGCTCTTGAGCATACATTTGCATGCGCCTCTCAAATGATTGCCTCAGGATAAATTCCTTAAAATGTGATTTCCTGATCAAAGAATGTCTAGAAAGATTGCACTAATTCATTCAACCACCAACAGTTTTTAAGCATAGAAATTTTGACACTCTATTCTTTGAGAGTAGTTTATTTAAAAAAAAAAAAAAAGCATGGTAGAGTAAATGATTTTTTTGTTTGTTTGGGTCAACATGTAGTATTCTACACAGTCAATTTCAGTTTGGTTCAACAAGCATTTATTATTCATTTCTTCAGATAATATTTATTGAGGCCCTGGTATGCGTCAAGCATTATATAGATGGTGGGAGATAGCAGTGACTAAGACAGTGATGGCACCTGCTCTCATGGAGCTTACATTCTAGTGGGGGAAGAGAAAATAAACAAGTACATGCACACACTGGAAAAAGCAGAAGATGATGAGTGCAAGGCAGAGTAGATGGAATATAGCTGCTCTAGAGTGGGTGCTCAGGGAAGGCCCTTCTGACAAGATGACAGCAATGCTGGCATTGATGGACAAGGAGCCACCTTACAAAGATCACAAGGAAGAGCATTCCAGGCAGATGGAAGAGCATGTGCAAAGGCTAGAAGACAGAAACAAGCTTGGCCAGTAAAAGAACAGAAAGAAGCATTACTAAGTGCCTATTGTATGCAAGACGCTCTTCTAGGTAGTTCCCAAAGATCCCAGAGGATCCAAATATGAGTAAATGAGGACTCTGCACACAGGACCTCCATCTCAGTGAAGGAAGAGGCAGAGAGAGGCAATTCCAATGTAAAAGGAATAAGTTCTGTGCTGGAGATACACAAGGTGTTCTGGGACACAGAGGAAGAGCACCTCACATATTGTTGGATTCAAAGAAGTTCTGGGAGGAAATGATACCTGAGATGAATCTGACCAATGGAGTTAACCCATGAGGAGAATCTATGAAGGACATTCTAGGCACAGGTAACGGCATGAGATGATACTTAGAGGTGTGAGGCAGGCAGGATGGGGGGTACTTAAGCAAAAAGCAAGAGGCAAGGAGGGGCAAGAAATTACTCTTGAGAGGTAGATAGTATTCTGGTTATGATGGGCCTTGTAAGCCATGCTAAGGAGTATTTTGTCTTCATGCAGGTGAAAAGGAGCCATTGAAAGCTCCCAAACAAGGGAGTGGCATGACCAGACTTACATTTTCAATAGATCGTTCTGGCATTAGCATAAAGGATGGATTAACAGGAAGTCAACATCAGAGACAAGATGAGTTAAGAGGCCATTGCAATTGTCAAAGTGAGCAATGATTAAGGCAGCAGTACTGGACAGGGAGAGGCAGGGACATATACAAGACACACTTAGGATATGAAATTAATTGCATTTGATAATTAATCAGAAGTTAGACATTAAGAAGAATGGAGGCATCTATTGTGACTCCTGTATTTCCAGCCCCTGTAATTGGCAGGATGATGATACCATTATCTGAGACAGGCAATAGGAAAAGGAGTCGGTGTGGAGGGAGAGCAATGGTATAAGATGAAGAGTTCCATTTTATCGTTGAAGTTCAGGGCCTGTGAGACTGCAAGTCCTGTGTCTACCAGGCAGAAGAATTATGCAAAGGGAAATGTCTCGGGGGAGAAGAGAAGTGATGATGGATGCCTGCAGAACACCAATGTTTAAAGGAAGAGTAGAAGTAGTACTCACTGGAAAGATCCATAAGGAAGGATCTGAGTTAGAGAAGAACAAGAAAGGGTGGTCTCAAAACATCTAGGGAGCAGGGAAGTTCAAGGCAACGCTATCAAATGTAGCAGAGTGGACTTGAAAATATGAGAACTAGAAAGCACCACCATATGGTGGTCACTTTGAAAAACAAATGGAAAGTGACCAAATGGAGACAGTGGATGTGGGCACATTTTTCCAAAAGTGTGATTTAAAAGAGCAATATCTAAAGGAAAGAAGGACCAAGGGAGGGTTTTGGTTTTGTTTTTCGAACGGGAAAGTCTTAAATGTGTTTACAGACTGAAGGGAGGCCAGAAGAAACGGAAAAGATACAAGAGAGAAAGGAGAGTGGATGGTGGGTGGTCCCGATGGGAGAGGAGTGGTGGGAACAGGAGCACAGGCTTGGCCTTACCACTCCCAGGGGGAATGAGGTGAGGATGAGAGCATGACAGTAGGAGGACAAGATTGAGGTAGCTCATGCCTGGTGGCTTCAATTTTCCTAATGTACAGACAGTGAGGTGATGTGCTGGGAGGGCAGTGGATAATGTTGGGGAAAAGAGGAGAAGGGTAAAAGTTTAAACAGAGAACAGGAAAGGACGTTTACCAGTAACTCTGAAGACCTAGTTGAGGTTAGAGCTCTCATCTAGTTGGGTCTCTACAACACATAATCCAAATAAAGAACAAAAAAAAGAATTTCCTTAAGACCCTAACACTTTCCTCTGACTTCAAAGTTTTTATTTGTCAAATACTTTTAGTCTATGAATTGCTACCAATGGTTTAGTGATTGAAGTGATTTAGCAAAAGAAGTCTGTCACTCTCTTTGCATTATCCTTACTTCTGGTAAGGAGACAGATTGTCATGGGCTAAATTAAGCAAAGGTCAAAAAATATACAGGATAGTCAAAGTTCCAATTCACTGTCTCTTCTAAAACTGTACGCTCCAAAATATCCTCCAGTGACATGATTTAACTCTTTCTGGAGGAGAAAGCAGTAGTTGAATACAAGTAGTTGAATACTAGACTCTGGTTCCAGTATGTTCAGCGGCTCCAATGGTTTCAAAGATTTCTGTGAGTTCAAATCTCAGTGCAGATATTTATTAACTGTGTAACCTTGAGCAAGTTACCTCAAAACTCATGCCTCAGTTTCCTCATTTGTACAATGGAGATATCAACAGCGCTTACCTCATAGGATTGCTCTGAAGATTAAACAAATAATATGCATAAAAGCACTCAGAACAGGTCTGGCCCAAAGTAAATCTACAACAAATATCAGCTATTTCTGGTCCCATGACTTTCCTCTTATCATCCTTCTTTCTTGTTGCCGTATTTCTTTTCTACTTTCTTTCCTCTCTAATAAATAGTAGCCATAGTTATAAATTTTCAACCCCTGTTTTTTATTTCATTTTATTTTTTATTTCTAAATTTTTATTTTTTATTTTTATTTATCTTATTTATACATTTATTGTTTGATCCAATTTTTTATTTTAAAACTTGTCTATATGGTATTTTATACATTATAAGAATAATTTATGTAAGATAAAAAAATCAAAGCTTAAAGCAATCTGTAAAGTGGAAAATAAAAGCTGCCCGTACCCCCAGTTGCATTCCCCACACGTAAACATTAGCAGTTTGTAGTCTGTTATAATCTTATTAGTATTAAATCATTACCTAAAGTTTAACAGAGCTTTTCTATGCACACATATATGTGTGAATGTGTATTTTTTTTTATGAAGTGGGACTATACTCTAAATATACTGCTTTGCACTTCTGGTTTTTTTTTTTTACTAAACAACTTATCACTAACATCTTTTCATGTCAGCACATCCTGATCTACTTCGGTATTTTTTTTAACCTCACCACCATAACAACTCTGTTTCTTAGATTTTTTTTCTTTGAAGGAAGGGGAGAGAGGCGTGTGAAGGAGAAAACTCAGAACTCGTCTCCTGATTTGAAAGGTTTCTATCTCTGGCCACAAATTCATCCTGCCTGGCCCCACCTAGATGCATTGCCACTTTCTGTCTAACCAAACTCCCAGTGACCATCTGGAATATCCATGTGGACTCATTCCTTCAGTGGATAAAAATTTCCTTGGATTTATTTCTGATATTTAGAACCAACGTAATGGAAAAGTGGCCACTTTCCCAAAGGGATGTTTTATCAACACACTTTTCATGAGAGAAATCTAAAAAAGCACTGCCTGACAAGAAGTCAAAACAACTTGAGAAGTTACAATGGATTCCAAATTCTATAATGCTGAGGCAAGAAGATTCCCCCATGGGCTCAAAGTGGTCTGGCAGAGGTGGGGTGAGGGCTAAAGTCCAGAGCTGTGATTATAATTGTGGTGGAACTTTCTGGAATCCTACATCTTTCCATAGATGATAGGTTTGCAGAAATAGCAATTATTGCAAACCACTGCTGGGGAAGGGGGTTAAATATGCCTCTGGTATATTTTGGTCAAACTGTAATTGTGAAAGGCTGTGTCCTGTGTAACTTTTTCTCTTCTTCAAACAAGAAAGATCAGAGAATGAGAGATTTAAGAGTAATCTTCTATGGCAATTGTCTAAAGTAGGGAGCAAATTTATGGAGGCGAAGAGGAGGAAGCATCATTGTTTAGGGCATCTGAAGTCCTATTACATTTAGCCCTCTGTAAATCTCAAGAACAAATGCATAACGACTAAGTGGCCTCTTGCTTCCCTGTCATCTATCATTTTTCTAACCTGGCAGAAATGTAAAACGTCAACCTACTTCTTGCCCCCTGACTAGAAAAACAAAGAATCATCAACAAAGAGAATTGCTCAGACGACAGGTTTTATTTCAAGCTCGTAAACATTTCTACAGGGATATTTGCTCCTGTTAAGTATCTGAAACCAAAGATGCATTGCCTGTCTGAGGTCTGGCTCTCCAACTCTCCCAGCCTGAAGTTCCTGACTTACCGGCTGCATTGTGCTGGTGATACCAGATCAAATCAGGGATTGATTCAAAGAGGTGCCTTTCAGCCACGTACCACTGTCCAGAGTCATTCCTTTTAATCTGATAATGTTTGATGGTAGCCTCCATACTTCTACAATCAATAAAATGTGAATTCATAAACAAGTAAAAGATCACTTTGGAACTAAGCTAATTCAGTAAACAAAAGGATCCCACCTCTAAAACTCTTATCCTAGCAACACGACATTCTGAAGAGTGGACTGGATTAAATTAAACAGATGCCTTACCATCCTGGGAAAATTCCTCAGCTACCTCACCAGGGCCTTAGTTTCAACCACAACTTCAGTCAAAGTTGTCTAGGTGACAAGTCCAGTGTCCAAAAAGTAGAGCTCATGATGGACACTTACAGGTATTTATTGAATATCAGGCATCATTGAATGAATGAACAAATGCACCATGAGGGGTGTGAGCAGATACGAGACAAAGGGAGGAAAACCAATATAAAGTGCATTGATGAGCAGGTTTGCCATGGGCGACTGGTTAATCCCGCTAGGAAGCTATGAGAAACTGTGGAACACACCTCAGAATTGTCTCACTACAGTGCAAAGGAGCTGAGGGACTTACCCTCCATTCCTCGTTAACAGAGGGTTGTGCCTAGGATACTAGCGCTGAGGCACTTCAGGTCTACCCATGGGGTACACGAGTTCCCACAGGGAGAGAACATCCCCAGGCAGAGAGATACCGGAAGGTTTCTGAGTGTGGGAGAACTCTGCAGGTAAACCCCAGGGTAAACCAAGGAATATGAGGAAAGCACCACTAGTATCTGCTATACCTAATCTAACCTCCTCACTTGATAGTTGAGAAAAGGAGATGAGAGACGTTAAGTAACTTATCCATTATCACACTCGGAGCTTGTTAGGGATACAGCTTGAACTGATTAGTTGTCCTAACTTTCAGGCTAGCAATCTGGCCTCTTACATTAGGCTCTTGCTTACATTTTCTACGTGATGGTGTCTCCATTAAAAAGACTGTCCCAGGGATTGTTATTTCTAAAGTGATCAAAACCACCATTGCTTACCTTCTAGCTCTTATAAACACAGAAATTGTGTAGGATCCCAAATGCCTTGAATCTCTGACAATGAATGCTCCTTCTTTAGCCTGCAAAATCATTCATTCATTGTATAAGTTTATTCCTTATTAGGGAGAAAGACAAACCTACAGCTCAGTTATGATCACAAAGCTATACTGACTTACTATAAAAGATGGGATTGTTTTTACACATACATACAATCTTCTCTCCCTTACAGGTTTAGAAGTCATACCTGTAAAATAAAATATAATTGGGACAAGAATTTGTAACGTATGAGTATTTTAAAACTTTGCCCTGATTCTTCTAAGAAAAATTCTGCATTTGACAACCTTGTACCCAACCATTTAGTTATTTTTGTTATGTTGATCAAGATAATAGATTAAAGTAGCTCACGAATAGGAAGAAATCTGAGACAGACTGAAAGGACTGTACTTTGGAAGGAAAGATGGGCCGGCTCCGTGGCCTAGTGGTTAAGTTTGCGCGCTCCGCTGCGGCAGCCCAGGGTTCGGATCCTGGGTACAGACATGGCACTGCTCGTCAGGCCACGTTGAGGTGGCATCCCCCATCCCACAACTAGAAGGACATGCAACTAAGATATACAACTGTGTACAGGGGGGGTTGGGGGGAGATAAAGCAGAAAAAAAAAAAAAGATTGGCAACAGTTGTTAGCCCAGGTGCCAATCTTTAAAAAAAAAAAAAGAAAAGAAACAACATGGCAGGTGAGTGTGAGGGAGACAGGGAGAAATGCATCTAGAGAGGCTGGGAGTGGGAAAAGAGACCAGAGTTAGTGATAAAAATGGACAGAGAATAGATTTGGAGGAGTCTGGAGAGAAAAGCAAGAAGAGACATTTTAGTTGCTGTAGGAGTACGGGAGAGAGGAAAAGAGAAATGGCAGGTAGAAGAATATTCTAAGCTGATGTTAGGTTATGAATTGGATCTTCATTGACATTCTTTGAGAAACTCCAATAAAGCTGTAAATTGCTTTCAAATAATCTTGAATGTTGGACTCTTTTATTTGGTTGGTTTATTCAATACTGCAAAAAGTTTCCGCTTGACTGAGTGTGCTTACACTTGTGAAGAGCCCAAGTGTAAATATCTCAGAATCTTCTCAAACCCATGAAAGTTTATGCTTAGGAATATCTGATGAGTTGCTTGAGAACTGCACAAGCAAAACAGTGTGGTCTGACCCTCAAGGCAAACAGGACACATTAAGCAAAGTCTTCTCCTGCTCCTTCTAGCTCACCAAGAGACAAGCTTCATTTTCTAGTTGAGTTTTTCAACCAAAGAATCTCTTATAGCCATCTAAAATGATAAAAATCTAGCTTTCATTGAATTCCTACTGTGTGCAAGGGTTGCGTTACATACCGCAGGAGACACAAGATGTAAAAAACAGAGATGTAAAAAGCAAAGAGGTATGTATGTAGTATATATGCATATACATATATATAATATGCATATAATTAAGTTGTATATGTAGTGATCTCTTCTAAAGCTTCAGAGTAGAATGAATATAAACAACATTCATGACCACAAGCAACAGAACTAAAAATTAATAACAAACTCCAAAGTAAAAAGCCCCAACAACCTATAAATTTTTAAATTCTCTTTTGTAAAACTCAAGTAAATTCAAGTAAAAGTGCAAAATATCTAGAAAATAATAAGGCAACACTACGTATCAGAAACTTTGCTATATAATTCAAGCAGTACTCAGAAGTAAATTCATAGTCTTATTACTTATCTCAATAAAGGAATACAAATAAGTGTATCCAACTCAAGAAGTTAGAATAAGAACTATAAAGTAAACTCAAGTAAAGGAGAAGAAATTAATAGAGACAAAAGCAGAAAATAATAAATCTTTTATAATAATTTACATATTTTAATATGTATTACTATATGTATAATACTTTAATATTTTATAATCATTTAAATATTATTTACATAAAATATAATATACTACAGTTAGTAATTAAACAAAATACAATACACCTTGTAATTCAAAATCTGTTTGTCTAGGGAAAAACAATAAAATAGATAAACTACTAATTAACCTAATCAATAAATAATGAGAAAAATCAATCAAAAATAAGTTACAGGATCCAGAAAAAAATTAAGAATCTTCTTGACTCTATACAATAAATTTTAAAGCTTCAATGAAATGCATAATTAACTAGCAAAACATAACACTTATCAAAATGGATTCCAGAAGAGCTAGAAATCTTAATGGATCTACTGAACTGAAAAGTTTTAAAACTGGATAGTTTTAAAACAGCTACAACATTAAAAAACATTACCGTACACGTTGTGATGTTGCCAAATCTTAAATTTAAGAAATGGTAGACAGGTTAACCAAGAGATCCAGAGCAAATGAAAAGAAGAAAAACTTCTAAATTTCATACAAAGTGAGCTTAAGATCAAGACCAACAATACAGCAAAGATCGTGGACAAAAGGGAAAACTAATAACCAGTCTTCAGTCATATCAATACAAAAATCCTAAATAAATATTAACAAACCACACCCAGTAGCACAATAAAGGAATAATGCACCTATCCCAAGAGGGATTGCACACATGAGGGCAAGAGTAATTCGATATTCGGGATTTCATTAATATAATGAATCGTATTAATAGATCTGAGGAGAAAAACTCCAAGAACAACTCCATAAATGTTGAAAAGGCATTTGACAAATTTTAACTTCTAGTATCAATGTTTAGAAATTCTTGATAACATACGAATATATATGTACTTCCTCAACACAATAGCGCTTATTTACTTTATTCCCAAGTCCAGCATCATGCGTTAGGTGAAAATCGTTCCAACTAAAATCAGAAATGCCCACTGCCAGCACTGGTATTTAACACTGTTCTGAGATAATAGCCAATGCAATTAAGTGAGAGGCAAAAACTAGAAATACTGTATTAAAATTATAAAAGAGTGGGGCTGGCCCCGTGGCGCAGCGGTTAAATTCACACGTTCCGCTTTTCCGAGGCCTGGGGTTTGCCGGTTCGCATCCCGGGTGCGGACATGGCACCACTTGGCACACCATGCTGTGGTGGGCGTTCCATGTATAAAGTAGAGGAAGATGGGCATGGATGTTACCTCAGGGCCAGTCTTCCTCAGCAAAAAGAGGAGGATTGGCAGTAGTTAGCTCAGGGCTAATCTTCCTCAAAAAAAAAAAATTATAAAAGAGGAGTTGAAATCATCACTATTTGCTGCTGATAAAATTATGTACTTGAAACCCAAGAGGCTCAACTGAAAAACTACTAAAAAAAAAAATTGGAATTCCCCAAAATTGTCAGTTACAAAATTAATTCACAGAAATCAAGAGCTTTCATAAGTATAAACAATAAGATCTACCCATTTATAATAGGAACAGAAAGGAAAAAATACCTTAAAATAAACTTTAATATAAATGTGCAAGAGCTGTATGAAGAAAAAATGCTGCTGAAGAATACAAAAGTGTTCGTTTTTCTCATTAAGCCTTTAATCCATCTAAAGTTTATTTTTACTTGAGATAGGGGTCTAATTTTAATTTTTTCTAGATGAATAATCAATATATGAGTCCCAAACAAATTAGTCCCAAACCCCACTGATTTGTGATGCCTGACAATTTTCCCTAAATCAATCGGTAAATTCAATGCAACCAACAGGAAGTTTTTTTAAACTAGGAGAAGTAATTCTGAAGTTCATATGGGCAAAACATATACCCAGAATATTTCTGAAACAGAAGCATGATGAGGAGGCTAGCCACACCAGACGAAGCGTCAGTATTTAAAGCGTCAGAATTTAACGGCAGCAGGTGAATGGACAAGCTGATCGATGAAACTAAGTAGAAAGTGCAGTATAGTTCAGACTATGAACAGTGTTTATGATGAGATTGGCATCTCAAATCAATACAGAAAAGATGGACACTTGGTAACCATCTAGAAAAGAACGAAGTCGGATCCATACTTCTCTCTTTACAGCTGGAAAAATTACAAATGCATCAAACATGCATATGTAAAAAATAAAAAATAAACTAAAGCAATCAAGAAACATAGGAGATTTTTTTTTATACCCTTGGAGTGAGCAAGGCAATTCTAACCTGATAAACCCTAAGGCCTCATTTTTGTCTGAAAAATTCAAATACATAACATTCAAATACTATTCATGGCAAAAAAAAAAGTGTAAGATAATTAAAAAACTGGGAAAAGTATTGCCACATATCACAATGACTAATTTCCTTAATCTAGTTACATAGGTCCTAGAAATTGTGAGAAAAGCATCAAAAACCAAATAGTAAAACTTGCAAAGGATATGAACAGACAGCTCATGGAAAAGGAAACCAATATATAAAATTTAATATATAAAAAGATGCTTAACATTCCCAGAATAAGAGAATGCAAATTAAATCCACACTGAGATGGGATGTCAGACAGCAAAGTTCCAGATGTTTCATTAAAACAGTTGTGGGAAAATAGGCACTTTTTTACACTTCTAGTCGGTATATAAATGCACACAACTCTTAGAGGGCATTTTAACATCTATCAAAGTTAGAAATGTACATTCCCTTTGACCCAGAATTTCTACCTTTGGGGATTTATTCTACAAATGTACTCACATAAATAGGAAAAGAGGTGTGTGTAGGTCACCTACGGCAGCATTGTCTTAATGGCAAAAGAGTGGACACCACTTAACTGTCCATAATGAAAGATTGGTTAAACAAATCGTGACACATCCACACTAAGAAATACTATGCAGGTGTAAAACAAATGAGGACACTTTTTTTGTACTGATGTGAAAAGATTCCCAATATATATCAAGTGAAAAAACTACAGAAGAGTAATGTTACCATTTGTGCAAAAGCGACACGAGAAAATATATTTTACTGCTTGTGTATGTATTAAATATGTCTGAAAGGATGCAAAATAAACTAATAATAGTAGTTTGTCTCTAGAGAGAGGAATTGATGGCTTGGGGACAAGGGTGAAAGAAAACTTTTCAAAATCTTTTGATTTTTGAACCACGTGAACATACCAATTATTGAAATAGGCAATAAAAATTATAATATACTTCCATGAATAATTTATGCAATAAATTTGAAAATAATATAAAGTAGGCAATTCTCCAGGTAAATATAAATTATCAAACATCTCGAGAAAAAAAGAAAATTAAATCAGTAGTCGAATATCCATCTGTTTGAAAAAGCAGCAGGTCCAGACTATTTTACTAGAGATTTACCTAACCTTCAAAGAGCAAACAACTTCTAATATAAACTAGTCCAGAGATTGAAAAAAAGAGACAAAGCCCCACTCCTCGACTCATTTTATGATGCCTAGTATAACCTTTATAATAAAACCAGACAAAGAGGAGAGAACATTAGCAGCCAGGCTTATTTTGAACATAACAGGACAAATGTTAAATAAAATATTAGGAAACCCAAACCAGCAATATATATTTTTAATTCCTCATAACCAAGTAGGATTTAACCCAGGCATATTTTAAAAAATAAAAATTAGAAAATATGTAAATTATTTAAAAAACACTTTAAGATATACAGGAAAAATATGTATATTTTTAAAATAGACACACACTTCAGACAGATTAAAGATCAAAATGTGAAAAGCAAATCTTTAAGACATTTAAAGGAATATATAAAATCCCTTTATTACTTCAGGAGAGAGAAGAATTTCTTATAGTAAACAAACAAACAAAAAAATCGAGGTTATAAAGCAAAATATTGAGAAATTTGACATTAACATTTTAAAAAATTCTATATGAGGAAAGAAAATAGCAAGTTTTTTAAAAAGCCAGAAACCAGAAGAATGTAGTAGTAACACATAACTGACAAAAGATTGGTATTCAGAATATATATATATATATATATATTTTTTTTTTTTTTTTTTTTTTTTTGCTGAGGAAGATTCACTCTGAGCTAACATCTGCGCCAATCTTCCTCTATTTCGTATGTGAGTCGCCACCACAGCATGGGCACTGACAGGTGGTGCAGGTCCGTGCCTAGGAACTGAGCCCAGGACACCAAAGCAGAGAGTGCCAAACTTAACCATTAGGCTACAGAGTTGGCCTCCAGAATATATTTTTAAAATATGTAGTAGTTACAAAAGCAAACACACTACAGACAAATGTGCAAAGGATATTAACAGGTATATAACAGCAGAGGAAGCACAACCAGCCCATAGACATATGAAAAGTTACTCAATCAAACTGTTTATCAAGGAAATGCACATTTTAAAATACATATATAGGTGCCAGCCTGGTGGCGTAGTGGTTGGGTTTGCGTGCACGAGTTCAGATCCCAGGTGCAGACCTACACACTGCTCATCAAGCCATGCTGTGGCGGTGTCCCAATATAAAGTGGAGGAAGATTGGCATGCATGTACGCTCAGGGAGCATCTTCCTCAAGCAAAAAAAAAAAAAAAAATGGGGGAGAAGATTGGCAACAGATGTTAGCTCAGGGCCAATCTTCCTCACACACACACACAAAAATATATGTATATATATATATAAAATTTCTCACACAGTGACTTGAAAAAAGGTGTGAAACTACCAACTGCTGGGAAGAATGCAGGGAACCAGTCTTCTTATTCCCTGTAAGAGTATAAACTAGAACAAATACTTTGAGTCATGATTTGAAAATATCTACTAATGTTAAATCTGCACATACTCTCTGACCACATCGTTCCATTTCTGGGTATAACCAAAAGAAACCCTTGCTCTTGTGGACAAGATGACATGTACAAGTTTTTAGTAGCACTGTTTGTAATAGTAATAAATTACAAACAATTTGAACGTTTATCAGTAGTGAAATGGGTATGTTTTGGTATACTCATATAATGAAATGTTATACAACAGTTAAAGGAATGTGTTTCATCTATATCTACCCATATGAATGAAATCAAAAATATAACGTTTAATTAAAAAATCAATACATATGATCTCCTTTATGTCAAAAACTAAAACACAAAGTAACACCATAGGTTGTTTATCCACATATATACCATAAAAATATAAACAAGGGGACAAAATGGGAACACACCCATCTCTTATTGTGCTTGCCTCTGGGGAGTGGGGGAGGACAAGAAAGATGAGGGGATGGGCTTCACCTGTAACTGTAATGTTTTATTTCCTGAAAAATGTTATGGCCAAATGTCACCATTTGTGCTATCTGGCTTGTGGGTGTGCGGCATTTGTTATGCAAGTCCCTGTTCTAATCTCCGTAGGGAGGTCAGACCCTCGTTCTGTTCTGGCTTCCTCTCAGACGCAGAACCTCTCATGCTGAAGCTCAGAGTCCAGTGATTCTGGCTATGCTACCTGTGACCAACTTGCTTCCTGTGGCCCTACTCCTGGACTTTTCTTCTCTGGTCCTGCCTGCCTGTCATAACGTCATCTTTGTCCATTCTGGACCAACTACTGTCACTTTACAGATGGCCACCTGCTGATATCATACCAAGCAGATATCACATTTGCTACCACGCTCCATTTCCTCATAGCCAGTGAAGCCAGGCCTGATCTCCAACCTCCATCCCCATGGCCACCTGAGGCTGGCTCTGTGTGCCTCATACTCTGCCCATCCCCAGCTATTAACTGGACCATCCCTGTGTCCTGAGCCATTCCTGGCATTGAGTTTTCAGTTACAGAACTGATTCTTTCTCACTCTTTTATTTCTAGATTTCCTCAACATCCGACAGCAGCGCATAATGACATACGTACCTCTTACCTAGTTTCTAGTTTTGACTCTGCGTTTACCCACAGTTAATGTTTACCGTCAGTTGGAAAATTAAACTATATGCAGTTTTGTTTTGTTTTAACCTAAATGAGCAGTTTTGATCTGAGTTCGATATTTTGGCTACCCTTCTCTTCCCTGTGTTCTCAAAGAACAAGGAAAGTGCAGCATTGTATATTTTTCTATATTTGTGTTTTTTAATGAGCCTAAGCTAAGCTTATGCGGATAGAGTATATAATTGATTGGCATTGATGCAAAGGTAGATGAGCCATTCAAATACAGACTCCACTGGCAGAAGGCGCTTTGGAGAGAATGAAGAAGTTTTAGTATGTTAGAGTTGAAATCATTTGAGAAGAAACACATTTCTGAAATTATAATGAAAGGCTATGGAAAACAGGATCTGATACAAATACACCTAGTTTATGACTTAGAAAATGTGTAGTAGAGATGAAACTGTAATAATATTTTAGAACTAAAAAGAACAGGAAATAACAAAACTTATTGGTTGTGTAAAACCTTTCTTTATAATATACGTCTCTCAGAAATTTTGAAAATATTCAGAGATTTATTCATGAATAAACTGAATTACCTCTTGTCTCAAAAGATGTTCTGCCTGATTTCTGGTAATGTTTCTATGGTACCACCTGCGAAAGCAATAAAAATAATTTTGAAATTTTATACTCCATTTTTTTCCAGAAAAAGCCTGCTCTACTTACTTCATTTTTAAGAACTTACTCCAGGACTGATCTTAGAAAATTGAATGTTTTTTAATTTAGCTAAACAATAATGTACTATTACATGTCAATTAATTTAGTTTAATAGCGTTTTATGAGTTGCAAGCCAATATCTAGTTTATTCTGTCATATCTCAATTCGACTTTCTGACGTACACTTAGTATATAATTTTAAACAATTTAACCTCCTGAAAATTTCCATGAAAGGTTTGTGGTTAAGAAGTCATCATCTTCAATAAACACTTTACTGAGATTTGGTAGACAAACTAAAAAATCCCCATTTCTTTGTCTCTTCTCAGGAACTTTCTATTGGCATACTTTTATAAGTGCTATGTTACCTTTCCAAAATCAAAACTCATTCTAACTTCTTTGACTCTCCAAAGTACATTAATGTGTAGTAAAGTCAGCAGTTTAGTAGAATAAATGGAACAACCAGCATGTAACCCCTGCTCCAGCAGCCCCTCCGGCCTCCTCTTTCTCCTCACTCTCTCCTCACTCACTAAGCTTCAGCCACACTGGGATTCCTTCCTTCCTCACATTCACCAAGCCCTTTTCTGCCTCCAATCTTGCTGTTACTTCTGCGAAATACATGGCATTACATGTCGTGAGACTATCAGAACTACACACAGTAAACATAATTAAATAATATTCTAATATAAACATATAGTTAGCCACGACACTGACCTAGTCAGTAAGCAGACGTTGCACAGGAAAGAGAAAGGAAACAATAGAACAAAGGAGAGAGAAAGAAAAATGGAAAAGCTTTCATTTCAAAACAAGATTTTAAAAAGGAGTTAATCTAATATTACCAGAAACACTATTTTTGTGGACAGTGGAAGGAAGAATGCGTATGTCGCCGGGCATTGAGTCACAGTGGGTGGGCCAGATGGTGGCTAAATGAAACCCATACCTGACTTTGAGGATGGAACCTATCTCACCACGTGGATTTCCCCTAATCTTCAGTAGCAGGAAGCTGCCACTAAATTAGAATGGTCAAGTATTAAAAATACTAATGCCTTCAAACTGAAAATGAGCTTTTAAAAAGATGAACCATAGAGAATAGGGAATGAGTACAGATGATTTTAGACAAAGTAATATGTCTACTTATCACTAGTGGGAACGAGAGTAACTGCGATGCTAAACTGTGAATATCATTCAGTACTTTTTAATGAATATTCATCTTAGGGAAGGGATTTTCAAGATGAGTCTGAGACTTCTTGTAGAAAGAAGAAATTCTTTCAAAATAAATGAGGCAGAGTTAAAGACACAGGGGACCAGTTAAAGGGGCCCCACTGGCTAACTTGTCAAATGAGGTTACTGAAAGGAGAATAATGATTATGGCTCACTAAAATATGTTGAAACTATGAAAAGCCAAGACTGCATAATGATCCTTCAAAAAAAGAAGTGTTAACCTAAATTGCGTTTTTTCTAAATAATGTTTTTTACCTATCCTATGGGTGTTAATTTTGTTGCTTGGTACCTATTTATTATAGTGACAAATAATATAAGTAAATACATTATTTTCATTTAAATAGAAATTAAAAATCCATCCATGTGTAGATGTTATTAGAACGACTTCAAAGCAGTAACTGAAGAGCCAGATAAAGGAATACGATGAAGTTAGGATCATTCAAAATAATACAGAATTCCATCAGGCGGGAAAGAGAGTGGATGAATGCAATTTAGGGGAGGCTGAAGGCATAGGATTTCAGAATTTCATCTATTTAAGATGGTCAAAGTTAAAAGAGTTTAAAAAAAAATAAGTAAGCCTGTAACTCTTATACCTAGACAACACTGATTATAAAAATAATACTTGATGATGTGGACACAGGACTTGGGGCAGGGCTTCTATTGACATTTTTTAAAAAGTCCAACATGTCCAGCTGTGGTTGAGTACAAACATCTTGTATGTAAGTAAGCCTTGGGGCCCAGGGCCCAGTCTTAGATTTCTGATCACTAAGTAACAATATTGTGGTCTTGAGTTTTCAACCTAGAAACCTGAGAAGATTAGATCTGAAAAGGTAAATCTGCTTCTTAGTAAGTGACTTTCTAACCCTGAGAAGATTAAGCATGCAGTGTAAAGATAATGAGATAATCAGACTCATACTTCTGTAAAGTTCACAATAAGCAATATGTTAGATATTTAAAATATCTATCATTTTATGAGAATCTGGCATATTAGATTTTTGCCTCTGATTTAAAATTTATAATTTTAAATTTTAAATTTATTATTTGAAGTTTAAGGGAATTTGACTGATTTTTAAATATTTGTATGGTTAAGGAAACTTGACTTACCACATTTATAAGTTTAATTTATTAGATTTCCAGGGTCTTGAAAGGACTTACAAAGGGCTATTTAAGTTGCAAATTTGCCCTGTCAGGCATGTGAAATACTTAAACAGCAAATTGAATTTATTCAGTTTACTAAGGCAAGTTAAATGTTTCAGGAAATTTAATTAACTGAGCTTATAAATAGGACAGATTGTTTAAGGAGACAGTATGCCAAGTTTGTATTAAGGTGATTGTTCTTATTATTTTAGATTTACAAATGGTATATGAAGATTTACAAGTTAAATTTGAAGGCTTACTGAAAAGTAAGTTTTTACGTTGTAATGTTGATAATTTGGATATTAATTTAAAAACTAAAGTAGCCATAAATATTTCTATGTTTAAAAGTTCCCCTGAGATGTCTCAAGCCCACACTGACATAGCCTTTCTTCCCCCATCCACCCCCTGACTACCTCCCACCACCATTAGGCCTCACGTCACTTCCTCAGAAAGTTCTTCTCCAGCTCAACACCCTCGTCCAAATTCTATCCCCATCCCTGTTGTTTTCTCCCAGTGTCTCATACTGTCCTTCATAACTCCACCATTTAAAATTATACATCTATTTGTGAATTTGGAGTTGTTTAATGTCTATTTTCCCGTGAAACTGTAACTTCCATTGAAGACGGGGGCTGCTTTTGTGTGTTCCACGTTGTGTCTCCAGTACCTAGAACAGCTAACATCTGTACATCGTAAGTGTGTAATAAATAAAGATTGAAAAAGGAAAGTGACTCAGGGGCTGAAGTCACCGTGGAATGTAGTAGACCTGTAACACTAGGTGAGGTGGGCCAGACCGTGAATGCCTTTCCTATTAGTTTCGCAGTTCAAGGAAATTGCTAGAATTTACTATGTGCTGTATGAGACAGGTATTACTGTCCCCAGTTTTCAGATCATTCAGAGGTTTGGAGACATTAGTGACTTTGTCCAAAGCCAAAGCACTAGTCATTGGGGGTGCCAAGATTTGAACCTAGATTTCTCTGATTTCTAAGCCGACACTACAGTATTTCAACCTAGGGCAGTAATTTCTGTACAGTCATTAGAACAGGGTGTGGTACATAGTTAGAAGTCAATAAATTTTAGTGTTTATATTGATAATTATTATATTTATCTTTTAATAAACCTTTTTAAAAAAGAAACAGCAATAAAATTTAAAAACTAGCCACCAGACACTGTGTTAAATTCCTTTCCATATATCTGCTTTAATCTCTTGGAAAATACGATGTGGGAAATAAAGTCTTATTTTTCTAATTTTTCTAGCAGGAGATTTCCAAACCAAACTTCCTCTGACTTGGCCTTCAGAGAGATGTTTGTTTTGGGTGGCTTCAGCTGGGGATAGTGGTGGGCTACCCATGAGGCATGCTTGAGTCACTGTAGACAGTTGTGGATCTGTTTTCTAAGGAAGGAAGGTTCAGCCACCTCGGGACTTTGTTTTACTGAGGGAAGATTGGAATTTCGGGGCAGAGCTAAATTACCTGGGTCAAGACAAGCTGAGAGAAGGGGGAGAGAAGTGAGAAGAGACCCTGTGATGAAGCTGAGGAGAGTGACTTTAGAGAGAGAACAGAAATAGCTAATAGAGAAGTCTGGTAAAGTTCCATAGGTGTCATGAATCCTGTGGCCATCTCCTTCTCCCCTCCAATAAAGTCTGCATTATTCACCAATGCTTTTAGAATGGGAATTGTTTTAGGGGAGGGGTATGCCGAGTCTGGCCTCCAGGTGGGCTTAAATTAGTAGCAAGGCCGACCAAGGTGGGTGCTTTCATTCAATTTATATCTGCTTCCTGGTTCTCAGAGAAGCACTTGTCTTATTGCCTCAACTCTCATCACCTACCGCCACCTGCTGGAAGCCTATGCAAATTGCAAAACCAGGATCTAAGTAGGGGGAGGGCACTGAAGAGCTAAATAGCAAACCCAAATTTACAAAACACTAGGGCCACTCCCAGCTCTGCCACTATCTGTAAATTAATCCCTCGCCCTTAGTTTCTGATCTGCAGAACGTGGGGCTAAGAAAGCAATTGCTGAGATCTCCTCCATCTTCCAAATCTCTAATTGTAACAAGAATAGATTTCTAAGCAGAACTCTAGTGAACATGGCAAAAGTTCTTCCAAACTACAGCATTAGCCAACTTCTCATCTTCAGCTAGTTCTAAAACATTTCAAACCATGAGCCAAAATATAACAATGTGTCTATATTAAGTCCAATTTAGCACTCGTTGAAAGATTAACATCATATTTTTAAAAATTACTTTTCCGTTGAGAACATATAGTAAAACAAGTGCCAGATGAGTGTTCGGTTTCATGCTGTCGCTGTTAAGACAAAAGAAGTGGCCATACAAAACCAAACAAAAATAAGTTTAAGAAAAGGAAGTTTCTGAATCAATCATTATAAAGATCAAAGATCTCCTAAGCTAAAGCTGTCAAGTGTATTACTTTCTTTTCCTTTTAGAGACCAAAAACGGTATCAATACGTACTATCTGCGCAACTGTACCTGATTTTCATAGATTAACCACAGGGAATATTTTGGAGAACACTTACTCATATATTTCTAAATTGGTTAATTTGTTTTCAGTCACGTAGTTGCTTGGGATTAAGCCTTCATTCCTACAACAAAAGACAAAGCAAAATCAAAATGTTTGGCATGTTTGTGACCTTATCGTGGCAACAATCTTTTTAAAACCTCAAGGATGTTGGGAAAAATCAAATTCATTTTACAAAATAAATTATTAAAAGAAGAAAAAAGTTTTTTCATTTTGATGTTCAACTAACATCTCTAAACGATGAATACGAAGATTCTGACTTTTAATGTGAGTTGTTTAAGATGTTTCATGACATCAAAATCTTTGCAAAGAGGAAAAAGGGCAACTTAAATAATCATTGGGATGTCATAGTGACTATATTAAAAACACAGTAATTGCAAAGATAGCAACTTAATTCTTTTTAATTGCTGCAGAGTAGTCCATAGAACATTCTAGTTTACCCACGCCCCTATTGCAGCAACGCTGTAAAGAAATACTTGAACACGACTTCTTGTGCACAAGTAAGAGTATTTCTCTAAGACAGATACTAAGTAGGGAAATTGCTAGGTCGCCAAATATGTGCATCTTTCAGTAGATACAGCAAATTGCCATTGAAGGAAAATATACCAATTTACACACCCCTCAGTAGGGTAGGAGTTTTTCTTTTCCTCTACATTCACTAACAAAATTTGAAATTATGAAAAGATCTCTAAGACACATTATTGAGAAATACAAGCAAGTTGCAGAGCAATGCATAAAGTGTGGTAAGACTTAGGTAAATTAAATCTGCAAACAATACCATATATTTCAATATGTGTATGAAAGGTGCTTTGAAAATGATCTGGAATAGTACTCACTAAATGAATAATGATGCTTGCTTTTGGGAAAGACTGAGTTTGGAGGTGTGGCAAAGCAGAATTTTAGCATTATCATGTTTGTATATTATAAACAAGTATATTAACTTATTAATTCTGAAGTTAAAAATTAATTGGATTTTTTTTTAAGTTTGAGTCATGCCAATAGGCCACCTGCAGGAGTGGCTAATTACAGAGCCCCAAACCTAGTAACATCTCTTTTCCCACTGAAAAGTCTCCATTACATGATGAGTCTACACAAGGACGGGTAGGAGAGCCAAATCATCAGGAAAATATAAAGAAAGAAGTATGTAATTTAGATACTTCTAATACTTAGATACTTATAATCTCCAAATCTTGACAAAGCTCAGAAATGCCAGCATTCTCTCCCAGGGAGCCAGATACTCCTTACAGCTTTCTCTACCCAGGACTCCAGTCAGGTATTAACGATCTATTGGCAACTGACGCCATGAAGTCTGTTTGCATCCCTTTTCTCTTTCCAATTTAATTCAGCAACTATTACAATGTTTACTTCCAAAACTAGTCCTTGTAGAAATACGAAAATGAGTAAGATACTATTTCTGTTCCTACCTTAGAGCTTAACTGGAAAAAAAAGTCAAAGTCCCAAAGAAAGTATAAATCAGAGTAAGAACCTATCTGGTAGGAATTATTATTCCCATTTTACAAATAAACAAATACTCGTTAAAAATAGAACTATCATATGATCCAGCAATTCTACTTCTGGGTATTTTTCCAAAGAAAACAAAAAAGATATATGCACCCCATGTTCATTGCAGCACTGTTTACAATAGCCAAGATATGGAAATAAGCTAAGTGTCCATTTATGGATGAAAGGATAAAGAAAATGTGGTATATATATATATACAATGGAATATTATTCACTTATTAAAAAAGAAAATGAAATCTTGCCATTTTCAACAACATGGATGAAACTTGAGGGCATTATGCCAAGAGAAATAAGTCAGAGAAAGACAAATACACTTACATCTCACTTATATGTGAAACCTAAAAAATAAATATATCAAGTTAAACAAAAGAACAAGCTAACAGATACAGAGAATAGATTAGTGGTTGCCAGAGATGGGGTGGGGAGGAGGAATGGGTGAAAGGGCTCAAAAGACATAAACTTCCAGTTACAAAACAAATAAGTCATGGAGATGCAATGTACAGTGTAGGCACTATAGTTAATAATACTGTATTGCATATTTGAAAGTTGCTACGAGAGTAAACCTTAAAGTTCTCTCACAAAAAAAAGTTCTCATCACAAGTAACTATTTACGGTAATGAATGTTAACTACACACATTGTGGTGGTCATTTTGTAATATATACAAACACCGAATCATTATGTTGTACACCTGAAGCTAATATATTATATGTCAATTATATCTCAATTAAAAAAAAGAAAGAAATGAAAACTCAGAATTGGTAGGTGACTTGCCCAACGACACACAGTAAGTGGCAGCTTCGGGATGTGAAGTCACGTGCATCTAATTATGAGAGTCTATCTGAAATCACAGTGTTATGATGCTCTTTCATACAGATGAGGAGGTGTGGAGACAGGTGCTATTTCACGCAGAAGGGAGAGTTATAAACCTGGAGAAAATGAGCCACTAAGCAGTCTTCCTTATGCTTCAGACATCTTTAGAGGATAAAAGAGAAGGAAATTGATAAGGACCGGGCCACCAGTCTTACCCCAAACGGTCTCTTGCCTTCCACCAGTGAGGATTGTACTTCTCCAATATCAGGTATTCCTCTGCTCTCTTTAATGCTAAATCACAGGGCTCTCTGGGCAGAAAATCATACAGAGCTTTCACTTGGATCTTCTCTTCAGCAACCTCAGAGAGTGGGAGGGGAGGCAGCGGCTTGCGTTTTGACGGTTGCACGCGGCCCCTGTCGGACTGTGAAAACCAAGGAGTGAGCTGCTGTGCTATTGTTTCAGTAATCTGCACTAACAAAGAATAGGGATATAGCATATTTGCCCGCTGCCTCGCTTCTCCCGTCTAGCTGCACCAAAGCAGAAGCTAGGATGGGATAAACGTGGCAAACCACTAATTATAAAACAACTTTCAGATCCAGCAACATGCTCACCATTTTGTAAATTTTCAAGACCACAAATTCTCTTGCCAGTAACACATTGGATTTTTTTCACATCGCAATTCATTTTTTTTTTAATTTTTTTTTCCTTTTTCTCCCCAAAGCACCCCTGGTACACAGTTGTATATTTTCAGTTGTGGGTCCTTCTAGTTGTGGCATGTGGGATGCCGCCTCAGCATAGCTTGATGAGCGGTGCCATGTCCGCGCCCAGGATAGGAACCAGCGAAACCCTGGGCCGCCAAAGCAGAGCGCGAGAACTTAACCACTCGGCCACGGGGCCGGCCCCACACATCACAATTCTTAAAATTTGATTTCCTCCCCAACAGATTCACTTTAAGGATTTTTCTCTCTTGGAAAAAGAAAACCAGCCCTTCCCTTTCATGTGCTGTTAGCTTGTGCTTGGGTTTACCACACTTCCTAAGAACACTGTTTCTCACAACACAGCACTGAAAATTAATCCTGGCCTCAAAATGGCAGTAGCCAGAATAAATTTTTTTCCTATTCACTGTCCAGTTTCCAATTCTGCCAAAACATAGCAGAGCAGACTATTTTAACTGGCCTTTTTTCCTTTCCCTTTCTTCTAGAACATTCATTCACTATATGTTTATTGGGCACTTATGTGCAAGCACGATTCGAGGTTCTGGGCATGGCAGCAAACAGGACCTCATGGAGCATAGAACCTAAAAAGGCAAGCTTCTTCCACCCTCCTCCCCATCAAAATGATTGATACTCACTTGCTTCTTACTTGACAATTCGCTGAACCACGGCCTGCGACGCTGAGGACATTTTTCTGAAAGTTCTTCATCTTTACTTAGGCTTATTTGTGTTCTCACTTGCCTGACATTGAAAAACAATCATGTTATAAATGATTATTTGTATTCAGGTTATTTATAAATCCACCAGATTATCACAAAACTAGTAGAAAAATCCAGGTCTCTGCAAGTGCTTTTTTATTTAGAAGGCTTTCTAACTCCATTTCTTTGGGCAAGTTACTACCTCTCGGAACTTCATTTTTCTTATCTGGGAACTAGAGATGCTGGAACATATGGAGTTGTTATGAAATAAAATTGAGAAGACATATGTCACATGCCCAGTGTAGAGTCTGGTCCATATTAAGTGCATGAAATTATAATCAAGGTAATGAAAAACTCACTCTGTTCAGGCACAGTGTTTATCATTTCACACGCGTTACCTCATTTGCTGGTATCCATTGTTGTAAGTAGACATGGTATAGTATTAAGAACATGAGTTTGAATCCCATCTCTACCATTTCATGATGTGGCCTTGCATAAACAATGGAACCTCGCTAAGCCTCAATTTCCTCATCTGTAAAATGGGGATTATGAAAAACCAGAAGTGGCTTTGAGAGTTACTTGAGCTAATTAATGCAAACCTCTTAGCACAGTCTGACACATAGGACACTCCCATTAAATGTCAGCTCTTACAATCGTCATGGTGTCTTGGATTTTATTCTTATACAACTATTTGCTGGGCACCGAAGTGTAAGACACACTGATAGTTTTGGGGAAATATTCAAATAAATAAGACAGAATTCTTGCCCCTAAAGGATAAAAATTACAGAGTGAAACACAGACATACAAACAGCATACGTGAAATAAATATTAAAAAGAGAATCAAGCCGCATGCTGTAGGAACACAATGGAAGGAGCAATTAAAGCCAAGAAGATCCAGGAAGGCTCACAGAAGACCTGATATTTGACCTAGGCCTTTAAATGAATGGGCATTCAACAGGGAGACCATGGGAGAAGGGTTTCCCAGGCAAAGAGAACAGCAGATACAAAGAGACATGGAGACTCAATAGACAATAAAGAAATGGAATGAGTCAATTTCCGAGAAGTTACCCTCAGAAGTAGACTTACCGCTTCTGCACGGAACAGCAACAGCAGCAACAGAAAATCGACTGGATGGTATTATCTGAAAAGCAGATCATTCTCAACCATTAGAAAGCCATGAGACCATGATAGTGGATAGATGAGGCTGATGGTGCTATTCCAAAGGAGGAAATCCTCAAAGACAGGGGTGATGAGAATTATTATAAAGCATACGCAAAATCTTGACCATGCCCTCCTTCACTAGTGGAAGATAAAGAATGTCAGTAAAGCAAAAATAAGTTACTGGCACCCTGGCCAATGTGGTTTCCCTTCTCAGGCTCTTCTCCCCGGCTCTGGGTTACGCATTTCCTCCGTCTGCGATGATAAATGACCATTGTAGTCTACTCTATCTCGGGCAGGGCTAATGTCAGCTAACAAAATGTGCAAAAGAACATGATTCCAAAAAGAATGTTCTCCTAGGAAGTCTGTCAGCAGGGATTTTGAATTAGGTCCATCACATTTCTTTAAAAAACATATTTTTAATATATATATGTATATATTTATATAAAATTACATGTTATATTTAATATAATATATTGTATAGCAATATGATTTAATATATTTAGATATAAAATATTTTTCTATATTTATTTTATATGTAAATATATATATAATTTTTTGGTTCTCAATTTTTCTATGGATTAAGTCCAAATATAAGCTGCATGTTTAAAGAAAGAACTAGCTAGCTAGTAAATCTAGGTCATGCTTACCCTTTCATTGTCAAGCTTAATCTTTATTTGATTTAAGTTAGATAATTTGCCTTTTTTAAGACCATAAATAAATTTCAAACTTATCAGAAGGGTGTTTTGTGTTCATATAATTTGCATTTCACAGTCAGCTCTTTCTCATACTGACACCTGAAGATGGAGCAGTATTAAGGAAGCAAAGTACATTAGAGATGAGCATTCACTTTGAGGTTAGACAGACCTGAGTTTGAACGCTAGCTGTGGGACTGACTATATCTTGGATAAGTGCCTTTACTTCTCCAAGTCTTTGTTTTCTTATCTGTAAAATGAGATAATCATACCTACCCCCTTTGAAAAGCCTTATAGGGCAGAGGTTAGCCTCTAACTTTGTCACTTTGGGCAAGTTACTTAACTATTCTCTGCTTCAGTTTCCTCATCAGTAAAATGGGAATAATAGGATACTTAGCATGTAAGGTTATTGTGAGGATTAATTGAGTTGATTTATGTAAAGCACCTAGAACAACGTCAGGTAAACAGTAAGAGAGTAATCAAGAAGACATTATTATTATAGCATTGTTGAGCAGATTAAATTAGATACTATCTCTAAAGTCCTTGGAACATAGAAGAGGGGTGCAAACAGAAGACACTCAGTAAAGTCCAGCCCTCAGCATCCATTCCATGTCCCCAGAACGGGAGACACAACAGAATCCCATCAGCTACCATATTATCACAAGGTGATGTCAATTTGGTCATACTTCCCCCTGAAACCTAGTATATTAACCACAAGCAAGAATCTTTAAGTAAGGTAGAGAAAGAAATGAGGAGAAAAGAAGAGTAACATAAAATATGGGTGCTACAATGCCCACCTCTGTAGCTGTCCTGAGTCCTAAGTTGATGATCATAGATACTCTCTGTCACCATCCATTCCATGTTCCCCCCTGCCTCTGCCAACACTTTGGCTGAAGGAGGTGCCTTATCTGGTGGAATAACCCAAATGTTCATTCCTGTGGGATTTCGGTCTTTAGTAGGTCTTGTCTTTTAGGGTTACTACAGTTTTCCACTGACCAAGACTATCAAGAATATTAAGAAATAAAGCTAGCAAATTTCCTGAGTTTCAAACTCCTTTTTGTCCTCATTGTGAAGCACCAATCTACTTCCTTCCTGGTGATCAGGACACTCACTTCAGCCACATTGACCCCCTTCTGTGCCTATCAATTCAGTGATAGAAAGAATCCCAAAATGTATAGAAGGCAGTCTCAACTTCCAATATTCCTTAAGAAAAGAATTCTTCTTTGGGGCACTAGAATCTCGAAACCCATCAAACCCAAGGTCACAGGGAAAGAGAACAACAATATTCCAGTGGGTTGTTAGGTGAAATGGCCAGAGAGGCCACTCCAGTCTTCACTCCTCAGTTCCCAGACTCATGCCTCCTGGCTATGGGGAAACAACACCATATTTGATGCTGATTTAAGACATTTATTCCATTCTATAGAACACCATTCCAATTTTGCAAGATATTGTCTCCCAGATATCACAGTAGTTGAATCTTCAGCAGGCCATTCATCTGTTCTATCAAGCCAGATGCCTCTGAGTTATGGGACACGTGGTAAGAGTATTCAGAGAACCAGTGAGCAAACATCAGTGAAACTAAGAAAAGGCTACCTGACTCCAAAGAATGGATCATCTTATAGATCTCAGTTCTATCTTCCCATTCAGTCCCTTTCCAAGAGTTTCAACCACATTTTTTTCCTTGCCACAAATCTCCCAATTCTGTTCTTTCAATGTTCCCAACTAGCAGGCCAATTTTTTTTTCCATTGCCCATGAGTCCATGTAGATCAATGGCTCAGACTATCTCTCCCTAAGGAAGTGAATAACTGGCGTACTGCTTAAAGTTCTGGAAGGATTTTATTTTAATAGAGATTTCGAGACAAGGACTAACATGATCTGACCTAGGTTTTAAATTAATCACTCTGGCTGTTGTGCTGAGAATAAACCATAGGGAGTTAAGGGTAGAAGCAAGAAGTCAGGAGGCTGTTGGTATAATCCAGATGAGATGATGGTGGCTTAGACCAGGGCACTAGCAGAAGGGTGGGGGAAAAGCAATAAGATTCAGTGTGTGTGTGTGTGTATTTAAGTTGTGGTGAAATACACATAACATAAAATTTACCATTTTAACCACTTGTAAATGAACAGTCCCGGGGCATTAAGTACATTCACATCTTGTACAACCATCACTACTATCCATCTTCAGAACTTTCTCATATCCCAAACTGAAACACTTGGATGTATTTTTAAGGCAGAGTCAGCATGCTTTCCTGACAGATTGGACTGAGGTGTGAGAGAGAGGAGTCGAAGATGACTCCTGGATTATTGACCTGAGCAACTGGAAACATGGAATTGCTACTGACTAGATGGAGAAGGATGGGTAGAGCAAGACTGAGTAGGAAGGAAGAGAAGGAGTTCAGATTTCTTCATTTTAATTTGAGGTGTCCTCTAGATATCCAAGTGGAGAATTCAAGAATGCATTTGAGTATGCAAGTCTGAAATTCATTAGAACTGGGCTAAAGGTGTACATTTGGGTGTCATCAGCAGATAGATGGTTTTTAAGACACAGGAAGGAATGAGATAATCAAGGGAATGGATGAGACAGAGAAAAGAAGAGAAGAGATCAAAAGCTTTGGGGCAGTCTTACGTTAGACCCAGTCGAACAGGTTAGGGAGGTAGAGGAGAGAGCAGAAAAGATGACTGAGAGGAAGGAACACCAGGAGCATGTGGTGTCGAATGCTACTGAGAGGTCAAGTAAGAGGAGGATTTGGAATTGACTATTGGATATAGTGGTGCGTAAATCACTGGTGCCCCAACAAGAGCAGTTTTGGGGAAGTGGTAGGGACAAAAGCTTGATGGAATGAGTTAAGAGAAAATGGAAGGAGAAGAATTGGAGGCAGCAGGTAAAGACTACTCACTTCTAGATTTTACTTTAAATGGGGAACAAAGCTGATGGAGGAAATAAGATCAAGAGTAGTTTGTTTTGTTTTGTTTTTGATGGGTGAAGTAACAGCATATCTAAGTGCAGATGAAAATGATCCAGTAGAGAGGGAAAAAAAGGTGATGTAGGAGAGGGAGGAAGTGTTGCAAGAATTTTGAATTTGAAAACCTCTCTGTGGGGCTTTGGCACAGCATTTTGCCACAATCTGCACCATACTCTGCCCCGCTTCAGTAGTTTATGTAACCTACATTTGACTTTGCATCCCCTGGCCTGGATAGATACAGATCTATATGGGGCTCTAAAACAACACTGGAATAAATTGGTAAGCATGCAAATTAGGCCCACTCCTGCCAAAGTAGGCAGAGCCCTCAGTGCTAATGCACCCTCTTTCTGAGGAAGGTTTTTGGCAATTTGCTCACGTAGACACCACCAGATGAAAATTGACAGTCAGAAGCAGCTGAAATCCAAAAACCTAATAATACGTAATGTAGTGTAGATTTTTGGGACTCATAATTTATTTTATTTAAGTCTCAAGAAATCAACCTTGAGATGGTCCTTAGAAAATGTATGGTTTCTGGGTGCAGGCAAAGGAAGAGAGAAAATTATTAAATCAGGGGTGAGTGGTGAAACACCTGTGGGAGCAAAGATGAGTCCTTGCCTGCGGTGGGACTAGAACTATCTCCACGGTAGAAATAAGAAGTTTACCCTGGATCACCAATGCGTCGGTAGCCCGAAGATTGAGCAATGGTAATGTCCCAAATCAGAGAAAGGCAAGTAAATAGTGCAGGAATCTAGGTTCAGAAGGTCAACTTCTGTGAAAGGAAAGGGAACTAATATATATTGATTACTATGCCAGATAACTCTACTCCTCTCCACCCTATTCTGTTCTAGAAGGATGACCTGTAGGGATTAAATGTGATAGCCAGCCTCTAAGACGGTTTAGTGAGCCCAGCCTCTTGGTATTCATTCTTCTCTACCTTGTAGTCTGACCTGGAAAAGTAATCTGTATGGTTTGGTTCAACATGCTTCCAAACATCTGGCTTCTGGCTGGATTATACCCTTGGGGACCCTGGAAGTTGTGGAGAGGTTGCCTTGAGTGAGCATGTCCCTCAAAAGCAGATCATATCTCCCATCCAAGTAGTCTCTGCTCCACTCGACTCTCTCCCTTTCCTGGTCCTTGTGGACCTAGGGATGGTGACAGTTCCACTACTACTGGACTCAGGTTCCTGCACATCCTATGTGGTTCCCATACCCCATCTACACCTTTGTAATTCGTCCCTTTGTAAATAAAACTTGAAAAAAATTATTCTAATTTAAGTATGTTGTGTTTCCTGTTGGAACCCTGAGTGATACAGAAATTCGTATCAGAA